ACTTAATAAATGCTACAGGCTTCAATGGGGCAAGCAGTGGCCCATCTGAAGCTGAGTAGAGAATGTATGAAAATATATTTGGGCCTACTTAAAGCCTTACCAAATGGCTAGCTATTGGGCTTCAAATATTTTATATAAATCTAAAACATACACTTATCTATACTATTATCAAAAGGAAACTCTTTATCATTTTATTTTTATTTCTTAAATGCCCTAACTGCTATAGTTAGAGACTTTAAAATATTTTAAGACTCTATTTGGATCAAGAATTCAGGTAGTATTTTGGAAAGAGAGAGGCAAAAAATAGGTGAACATTTCACCCATCTTTTCTCTTTTTCCTTTTCAAATCCCTACTCAAATTCATTATTTAAATACAACATAAGGGTATAAGAGGACATTTCATTTAAGATAATAGTTACATAATCACCATTTCCTTATTCCTGTCCTTATTTCTAATTTTCCTCCATCGATAGTTCTATGTGCACCAATTAATATATTAACTAGTGTACCAACATATGTTATAACATTATTATTAATTCCACTCATTATACAAATTACAAATACCAAAGACCTTTTAAATTTTGTTATATCATCAATTAGTATACTAATTGATATCCTAATTGATGCATATAGCATTAGCAATCCCTCTATTTTAACTCCCATTAACCTCTTTACCTAAAATAAATTTCTTTTCTATCATCTATTTCTGTTTTAAGATAAACGAATTTTAGGTGCTCAAATCAAGTCATATATTCTATTAATCCACATATTACATTAATTATTAAAACTTTTAGTCTGTACAGTTGGAAGGCAAGTGTTGCAAACCCTTCTTTTGACTAATTTTTTAATTTTTAACTTTTTGACACTAGTGGATGTATAAAGCAATCTTTGGTTTTCTTGGTTCTCTTTGTTTGATGCCTTTTTTGAATAAAATCTTATTTACTTATCAAAAAAAAAAAATTTATTAAATTTTTTACATCATGCAATGAGCTCAAAGGAGGGGAAGGTTTGACATGGAAAGGTATAAGTTCCATCATCTAATTTCTGTCAAGTATAAGAGAAAATATATGTCATCGATTTTTGGTTATTATTTTGTATCGTTGTCTACATGTATGCTCTACATTGGTTCCATATTTAGAAATAATCGTTAAGAAAAAATTGTGACGATAATAACATCCTAACATGTATTTTGATAATATAAAACGGTGAAAAAATCAATTGATATATAATAGTCTTATATGCGAAATTGTAATTAACGGATAGAAATTATTCGGTACCTCATGTGATAATGTCATCCATACCATTAATTGATGTTGTCGAATGCCCTTTACACATCAAAAAAAAAAAAACAATTACAATTCACATTTAAAATTAAAACATAATAATATTCAAATGTAGTTTTATTGTGCACTACACTTCAAACGATCTCATTTTCTTTCAAGTGCAAACATAGATAGTTGAATTATCACAACAAAATCACTACATAGACAAAAATATGGCAGAAAATCCAGATCCTGGTCCCTAATCTGCCCTCTGCAACATTGTCGTATCGGGTTACGAATAACTTCTCCTAATGAAACCCTTAAACAATTGACGTTTGGGATCTTATCTTAGAAGCTAGTTTTGCTAAGGAAATGTTAACTTTTACAGCTTGCAAATGCTGTGCTGATTATAAAAGCATTATTAAATTTAAATTTCAACAACGACCCTCCACGTACTAATCTTTTTTTATCACCATCTAATTTTCATCTCCAAAGTGTGAACACAACTTTAAATAATCAATCTTGATGATCCTCCTATCAACAAAAAAGTAATACAATTATTTGGGTGACAATTTTAAATTATTAAACATAAAGTGTGAACACAACTTTGAATAATCATTTCCATGATATTCCTCGTATTGCTAAGCCATTAATATAAAATTCATGACCGAACAACAACATTAATCTTTCAGAATTTGATTTGGAACTTTTTAGTGTGAACACAACTTTTAGTATTACCAAATTTGATTATAATACAATTTATTAGACATATTTATAATCAGCAGCTTACCTTCTTTACTTGTTAATTAACGCTTTGTTTCCTTGCAGCAAGAGGTGTGAGATTCCAAATCTTCTGTGCTTTTTCCTTCATGATCTGCACACAATTAAAAAAAAAAATTCACCATGCACTTAGGTTGTGTTTGGATAATAGATAGAAAAAGGAAATAGAATAATTTTCAGATACTCATTTTTTATAAATAATATACCAAAACAAAAAAACAAAAAAATTTATTTGTTTTCTCATTTTATTAACCTAACAAAAAAGATGGGGAAATTTTTTTGCTTCAACTTCAATTTTTTTTCCCATCTTTTTCCTTTCATATTCTTTTTTCTTTCACAAATCAACAATACAAACGTAGCCTTACAAAAACTACTTATGGGGCAAGAGATTCTTGCCAATTTTTTTTATGCAAAGATGTACAAATAGAAGTATAGCATGTTTGAAGTCCCAGTATTAACTAGTTGTGCATCACTTAGATGTTCCTTTTGTTTCCCTGCAGTCCTCCCACTGAACATGCATAAAGCATGCACAGCATTGTATATTGAGTTGGGAACTGTTACTGTACAGTATACACACCCTAAAAAAGTCCATGCAATATGCACAAAAAGCTTCAGCTACATGGCTGATAATTTCTACCAATTTAAGTCATAACTAAGTCTAAATTCGTTCGTAACTCAAACACTACAAAGTCTTGTAACCAAAACTAATTTCTTTATAAACAAATATCATAAAGCGTCACAATAAGTTCATCACAAATTATCATAACAACTCATAATAAGATCACAAAACTTGATAACTAAAATATGAAGTACACACTTTTTTAAGAGATGTGAACCAAAGAGTTTTCCTATTGAGTTTGAGGATTACTCAAACTCACTTCCACATGTTGGGGGATGGTTCATTAAATGACGAAAATCTGTCAACTCATCTATAGTAGGATACGAAATGGAGTGTGGAGGATGGATTCCGGTGGTGAAGCAAAGAGGGAACTTAGGTGAAAGGAAATCAATGGGTAGTGGAGCAGTTTTCACAGTGTTTGTGGATAATCTACCCAGCTCAATGAATACCAAAGATTTGTTCAACCTGTTCAGGAAGTTTGGAGTTGTAAAGGATATCTTCATTCCGCAAAAACGTCGAAGAAACACCAACACTAGATTTGGATTTGTAAGATATAGCTGCGAAGTAGCAGCAAACGTTGCTGTGCAAAAGGCGAATGGTTTATGGGTGGATGATAAGAAGCTGCTCGTGAAACTTGCAGCTTTCCAACGAAGCAGAGAACAGGGGAAGTACTATGCTCAAAAATCACAGCAACCAATCCCCAGACAGGAAGTTTGGAGAGGTGCAGATCATCTCACCAATAACAAAACTTTTGCAAACGTGGTAAGAGGGCTCCAGGACAGAGATTCCATTACAGTTAAGGCCGAGGTGTATGGAAATGGGTGGCTCTGTGATAGTGTCGTAGTCCGGCTAAAAGTAACATATGTCAACATTAGTTTAAAGTCCGAGCTTAATGCTAGAGGAATTGATGGGTTTGAAGCCAGAAAAGGAGGCGGCCGGGATGTGGTGTTATCTTTCAAGTCTAAGGAGGAAATGGTAACGAAGATGAAGACCATTAAAGAAATTATTGATGAGTGGTGTGAAGATATCATCCAATGGAAGCCAGAGCTTGCTCTGGTACAGGAGAGACTAGTATGGATTTGTTGTTATGGCATTCCAATACATTTATGGAATAGGTCCAATCTTGTCAAGATTGGTAGCGTATGGGGTGAAGTTATTGAAGGTGCTGAATACATGCCTCAGTCTTTTGAGTGCGGGAAGCTCAGGATCCTTACCAAGTGCATGGAACCTGTTAATAACGTTATCAACCTGGTGACCAAGCACTCCTCTCATCCAGTGAGAGTTGTGGAAGTCCAGACTTTTGAACCAAAAACAATAAATCAGTGCTGTAGTTGTTCGATTCAACATGACAAGATAAAGGAACAAAGTTCCGAAGAGGGAGACGAGGAGCATGACTCTAACAGAGTTGGTAAGCCATTACAGAACCTCGGAAACGAGTCAACTCAACCCAGAAAAGGTGGGTCAGCTCAGGATTCTGAGCAATTCAAAATTAAGGCCAGACGATTGTTGACACGTGGGGATGACAGCATAATAGGGGCAAAATGGAAGAGTGATACGGTAGTGGCTGAGTCTAGCAGCTCCGTAGGTAAGGAGCTCGAGGTGGAAGTATGTAAGGAACTGGTGGCAGGTAGCAGTGCATTTAATGCCTCAAAACCAGCTGATCAAGGTAATGATGGGCAAGTCTTCACACCTGGATGCATGAAAAGCTTGAGTGGATCTGGCCTAAATTTACCTGGGCTGAATTTGGAAGTGGACTTGGGCTTTAATAAATTAAATCACGAGCTGTGTGGATTGACTGATGATGGAAAGGTAGTTCCTACTAAGGTTGACAGCCCAGTGGAGGAAATGGGTGGCTCTGATGATGAGATTAGTAGTAGTGAGGATGAAGGAGAAGTGGCCCAATCTAATGCAGCCGATTGGGCCACTAATATTAAAAACCAAGGGAAGGTAATTAGTAGGCCAAGTTCAGAGAAACAGATATCCAACACTGCTGGAACTCTAGGCAGATTCTGGAAAAAAAGGGAAAAATCGGGGATTCCCTTCAGAAACGGATTTCAACGAGGTGCGCTGGTTCGAGATGCAATAATGGCTACTGCGTCTTCTATATCCATAAGCAATGAAGTATGTAAGCAGAGGAAAGTCAGAAAAGAGGCTGAAGCCACGGTGCAGATGGGAATTAAGCTGGGTCTGACGTTGGTTGGGCATGAAGATGAAGTCGTGGAACGAATTATGCAGATGGAAAATGAAGACATGGATAAAGTGAAAGGGCAAGGGGATAAGCCACGTGCTTAGTCCTTAGCACTTGTTCAGGGGCTACCTTGGTGGAGTATTTTGTTGACATGAAGATTCTTTCTTGGAATGTTCGAGGTTTGGGAAATGCAGGGAAACGATCAAGGATCAAAGACTTGCTGAGAATGAAAAGGGTAGATATGGTCTTACTTCAAGAAACAAAACGTTCAAGCATTGATGACAATGTTATTCGATCTCTGTGGCCATCTGATTTGGTGGAATTCATGGTTGTAGATGCGATTGGCACTGCGGGGGGAATTCTATGCATTTGGAACCCGGAGGTCTTCTCCCTAAAAGGGTGTTGCTGCTATACGAGTTTTATCCTACTAGAAGGTATTGTACATTCTAACCTTAATTGTGTTGTTGGTAACATTTATGCACCTAATGATGAGGAGAATAGGAGAAAGTTGTGGACGACTTTAGTCCAATTAAAATCTGTCTTCCCTGATCCATGGTGTCTTGGGGGGGATTTCAATGAAGTCAAAACTGTCAGTGAAAGAAAAGGGTGTATCAGGAGGGACAGAGGTATGGGAGACTTCGGTAACTTCATTAGCTCACTTGAACTGGTGGATATCCCCATGTTGGGTAGGAGGTATACCTGGGGAAATTCTCAAAGTTGGAGTAGGATTGATCGGTTTATAGTGAATCCTGAGTGGTTGGAGTGGTACAAATATAAAGTTTGGGGGTTACCTAGACTCTTATCGGACCATAGCCCTATTCTGTTGATGGAAGATGGTAGGGATTGGGGGCCAAAACCTTTTAAGTTTATAAATGCTTGGGTCTTGCACCATAATTTTTTAGAGGAAGTGAGAAGAGTTTGGACTTCAACATTGGTCCAAGGTTGGGCAGGCTATGTAATCATGGAGAAGCTGAGAGCTCTGAAAGCGGCCTTAAAACGATGGAATCTGTCAGAATTATTGAAAAAATATTTTTAAATTTTAAAAAACTATTTTTACCATCCAAAAAATTAAATCTATATGAAAATCATGAATTTTTTTTAAAACTTTTTTTAGCAAAGTAAATTTTAATTTTTTAAAAGAAAATTCGAAAAATTAAACCCAACAGAGCCATTACCTTGATATTAGCTATGGACCATGTTGTATAAAAGGTGGCTCAATCAAAGAAAGAAAATCTAAAAACTTTCAAATATGTTCAACTTCAAGTCACCAAAAACTTGAAGGTGACCGAAACACCCGATTTTTTCATATTATGGCCACGAAGAGATATAATAGAAACTTGATTGATTCTATAGAGGTTAACGGGGTGGAGGTTGAAGAACCAAGTATGATTAAACAAGCAGTGTACCATCATTTCCAGAATTTATTTACTGAACACTGGAGAAATAGGCCAAGAATTGGTGGAGAATTCAAGACAATTGAAACTAATCAGGTAGCTGGCATTTTGGAGAGGGAGTTCTCGGTAGAAGAAGTATGGGCTGCCATCAAAGAATGCGATGGCAACAAAGCCCCGGGCCCGGACGGGTTCAACATGCTCTTTTTACAAAAAAGCTGGAAATTTTTGCAAGAGGACATCATGAAATTCATGAAGGAGTTCCACAGTAACAGCAAATTGGGTAATGGGGTAAATTGCTCCTTTGTTACTCTTATTCCTAAGATGGAAAACCCTAAGTCTCTTACTGACTATCGCCCTATTAGCTTGATTAATTGTCCTTACAAAGTGCTGGCTATAGTGTTGGCCAATAGAATCAAGCAAGTTCTACCTAGTGTGATTGACAAGGTTCAGTCTGCGTTTGTGAGGGGAAGAAATATTTTGGATGGAGTGCTTATAGCAAATGAGGTGGTGGATTGGTGGAAAAAATCAAAGAAGAAGGGTCTCATTCTTAAATTAGACTTTCAGAAAGCATATGATACGGTTAACTGGAGTTGCTTGTTTCAAATGTTATCTAGCTTTGGGTTTGGGTCTAGATGGATTCGTTGGATGGAAGAATGTGTAGGATCGGCTCGCATTTCTGTATTGATAAATGGCTCACCATCTGCTGAATTCTGCCCCCAAAAAGGGCTTAGGCAAGGTGATCCTCTTTCACCTTTTTTATTCAACATTGTCGCTGAGGGGCTGAATATGTTGCTATCAAGAGCAAAGGAATTAGGGATTATCAAAGGTGTGGTGGTGGGTGGGAGAGGGATTAATATATCTCATCTTCAGTTTGCCGATGACACTATCATATTTTGCGAGGCTGATTGGGCTGAGATTGTGGCTGAGCTGCAAATTGTTCCACCAATCCAACTTCAACTCCCACTCCACAAATCAGGCTTTTGTCAGAAACTTCCTATAAAGTATCTTGGATTGCCACTTGGTTCTAACCCAGGTAGGAAGTAAGTTTGGCAACCTGTGGTGGAAAGGATCAAAAAGAAACTATCTGGTTGGAAGCGTAGGTTTCTTTCTTATGCCGGGAGAGTTACTCTTATCAAGTCTGTTTTATCCTCCTTACCTATATACTATATGTCTTTATTTAAGATCCCGGTGTGTGTGGCTAAAGAAATTGATAAGATTCAAGCTAGGTTTTTGTGGGGTGGAGATGGTTCTCATAGGAAAATTCATCTGGTAAGTTGGAAGGAGGTGCAGCTGCCTAGGAATCAAGGAGGCCTTGGAATCCGTAACCTCTTATTGACTAATGAATGTTTGCTCCTCAAGTGGTGGTGGAGATATGCTTTGGAAGATGAGGCCATATGGAAATCAGTGATCTGTGCCAAGTATGGTGTATCCGGAGGTGGCTGGTATCCTTCATTGAATGGAGTTGGATCTGCTTCTGTTATCTGGAGAGACATTCTGGCGTTGGTACATGCTAATCCTAGGCTATATAACTTGTTTGTTGAGAATGTAGAGCTCAAGATTGGTGATGGAAATAGGGTGAAATTCTGGGATGATATCTGGAGGGGATCTATAAGCCTCAAATCTCAATTCCCTAGGCTGTATCAACTGTCTGTAGACAAAGAGATCACTGTGAAGTTGCAGATCGCTTGTCGGGAGAGCAGTAACAATTGGTGCTTCAACTTTCGAAGATCCCTCCTGGGCTGGGAGGCGGATGAGGTGATTCGGTTGCAAAATATGCTGGGATCGGGGCCTTGCCTGCACAATGGCCAGAAGGACTCCATTAGTTGGAAGGCTCACCGCTCAGGAGTGTTTAAAGTTGGAGATGTCTACGATTGGTATGTGCAAAGTCTTAGCCGTGCGCATAGTGTAACAGATTTAGTGTGGAAGAATTTTGCACCTCCAAAGGCCCAATTCATCACTTGGCTTGCTTGGAAAGGTAGGCTGAAAACCTCTTCATTTCTTAACAGAATAGGAGTCCTAACAGGGTCTGAATGTGTGCTGTGCAAAGCTGAGGAGGAAACTGCTAGCCATCTCCTGCTGTTCTGTCCCTTTTCGTGGAATGTTTGGTCTAAAATCATGGTTTGGTGGGGAATTCAGTGGGTAATTCCAGGCTCGGTTGAGGAGCTGATGCATTGGTGGTTGGGGTGGAAATTTAGGAAAAAGGCAAAGCAAGTCTGGAGAGCTATCTTCATCTCTGTGATTTGGTCTTTATGGAGATACAGAAATGACTGCACGTTTAACAATACCCAACCTGATATTGAGGAGTTGTGTGAGGTAATAAAGGTAAGAGTGGCCATATGGGTAAAGTACTATGGGATGGGATGTGCATACTCTATTCATGAGATTATTGCAAATATCAAATGGGTGAGCCAACAGATTTAAGGGTGAACCAACATATATAAAGTTGCTGCTGTCTGCTGGGGAGATTCTGTTAGGTGTGGTGTGTTTGCTGCTGTCTGATGGGGAGTGTGGATGTATCTAGCTAATGTTGGAGTAGCTCTGCTTTGGGTATTGGTTGTATCTCTGCTGGCCAAGGTTCACTGCTCTGGAGTGTCATGCTGCTGTGTGGTCATTATGGTGCACATGCTCATTCTCACATCTCTGCTGATATCTATTGGATGTCTGGTGGATCCCCCATCTGTTCTGCAGAATTTGTTTCCATCTGTCATGCTTGGCTTTCATGGTTGGGTAGGAGAAATATCAGTAGGCTTTGTATAGGTTTGCAGAAGGCTGTGTGTAAGTTTGGTTTCTCTCCAAACATACACTAAGCCTCTTGGTGTTTTGTTCCCCCTACTCTGTTTACTTCTTCAATTAATAAAACTTTCTTTGCTCATCAAAAAAAAAAAAAACTCATCTATAGTAAATATATGTGTGCGTGTGTGTGTGTGTAAATTTAAGTAACACAACATAGCATATATGCATGTATATCTACTAGAATTTTAAAAGAAGACTAACGCTATACATAAATAGATTACTTATCATATTTTCACACTACTAAACACAGATATAATGGAATCCACACTAACGGTGGCAAATGTATTTTACAGAAAACTTTTTCTAGAAAATGTTTTCCTTAGAAAACATTTTTCTACATTTGGTTGCGACTTCACACTCGTGTGCTAGAGGTTGTCTTAGTGGTGGAGGTGGTGGTTTTGGTGGTGGGATGGTGGAGGTGGCAATGGTAATGTGATGGCATTGGTAAGACTTCACTCCAGAAAATATTTTCCACCTTTGAAAAATGAAAAACTTTTTTGCGCCCAAATAAACTTGTTTTCCATTGACTTTTGTTTTTCGTCACACCAATAGCCAAAAAATGTGAAAAACATTTTCCAAACAATATTTTCTACCAAAACAAATAAGAGTAATAAATACACATGTAAACCATTGCCTTCATGTCTAGTGGTATGAAAACCTAATAAGTAATCTGTTTATGTATATGTATGTGAGATGGTGGTAGACTCAGATAAACCTGCCTCAGAACTGCATGAAAACTGTGGCCAAGTTAGGTTTATGATACTGAAACAGAACCCAATGCAAAATGACTTTGGTGGATAAATTGGCCTCAAAGCTCCACCACCACAAATGAAATACTATTATAATTTACACTGCCGAGTACATTACATAAACTAATCATATCCAGAAAAAATACTATAATATAAACTGAGCAGATTTACCATTTTCAGCGTTTGCATCACATTTCTTCAACACACAACAGACAAATCTTAGCAAGATGAACCATAACAACTACATCAATATAGTTTTTTTTTTTTTAACCATACTGATATCCTTGCAACAAACACCATATCCAGAAAATAATGGTGGATGAAGATGAGGTGAGAAAACCAAAAAAAATTCATCCAGTGACATTATTTTCCAAACTAAAATTTCCACAAAGCATATACAAACTTCTCATTCTCAAGGTTACTCTATTTCCAATATTATTCGCATGTTTAAGAGTGAAACCAAGTACTATGTAACAAAAACAAGAATGCTAGCATATATAATCAATCCACCTACTATCCCCATCTGGCTGATCTGGCCATGGCAATAATGAAATTCAGGATTTAATCCCCCCCATTTCTTAAACAAAAGTAACGGAGATCGAAAAGTTATTGGACGACAATAAATTGAAGAATATACGAATCTTCGTATAATTAGAAATTATGGTTTTTAATAAGATTTTATTTCTTTATTAGTTAGCTTCCTATTCCTTTTGGTTTCATAGTTAGTGCTTATGCCTATGGCTGTTATGTAATGGTTTAAATACTAGACTGGACTTTTGATATGAATATTGATTTGGGATTGGTTCTCTGGTCTCTCATCTTCTTTTTTTTTCTTTTTTTGATTGGCATTGGGATATCCAAATCAAAGCCCGACTAATCTCCAAGGGTGCACAAGCCCTTGGCAAGGAGTTTCCTGCAAGTGCACCATGGTTAATTTAAGGGTTTTCTCCTAGTCCGATGGTCCCAAGGAATTATTAGCACCTAAGAGGTTTCGATTCCTGAACCTTGGAGAGAACGCACTCCCAAGACCCAAGGCCTTGCCACCAACACCTTTTGGTGCTACATCACAAAGTTGTTATGATCTCAGTAACTAATGGTGAATGTTCGAAAAAAACAAAAAATAAAGAAATAAAAAGAGTAACTAGTGAGTAAAGCTATAGCCTATAAAATACAGAACCATTCTGAAAATGATACATAAAGGTTTTACATGAATCACTAAAACGGGGTGGCATACATGTTTAATTTGATGTATGGAAAAATAGAGAGAATGAAATATGTATTGATGATTGATATGATTGATTGATGTATATTGTATATATTACAATGATTCATGATTCCTATATATAGAAGAGGGTGAGTGTGTAGTAGGTGAGGAGTAGGTGAAGTAGGTGAGTGTGTAGTAGGTGGTAGTGGTAGGTGTGTAGTAGGTGAATTTTAACAATACATAATCGTGCATCCAAAACAAGCAATTCACAAATGAAGATCTATCACACATTTTATCCATGCACAAACTCACCATACCTTCTGTGAAAAAACTATGTACCCCAAAAATGTTATAGCGATCCTGGTATTGACCCGACTCTTGTGGTATCCCAGACTCAGGTTTAATGCTTTCATATTGTTGATTACCTCTTTCTCTCCTTGTACCTCCTTTAAATTGGCTTTAGAGTTGTTGTGGTTGTGTTTGGGCAGGTTGGTCGCTTATTTTTCAAACCTTGTGCTGCTTAGAATTTTAGTCCTTCGCTCGAGCGGCACCTCCTACGCTCGAGCGAGCTTTGCAAACACTCAGTACTTTTGCAAGTCTGCAAAATTACTGGGAGAGTGATTTCTACGTTCAAGCGGCGTTTCCTACGCTCGAGCGGATGGGCGCTCGAGCAGCCTTTCTTGTGCTCAAGCGTTGGTCTGTTGTCTGCAAAACTGCTGGATGTGTGTTTTCCACGCTCGAGTGCCACTTCGTGAGCTCGAGCGGTGAGTGTCTTATCGATTGTGTCTTGGTGCTCGAGTGGCCTTTCTTGCGCTCGAGCCGAACAACTTATTGTGTCTGACGCTTAAGCATCAACTATTCCGCTTGAGCGGACTGTACGTATATCAGATCGTGAAAATGACTTTTTACATCACTTTTTCATATCTTTTCTCCCTAAAACCTAAAGTTGGCACACTCTCTTTCCAAAATACTCTTTCTCTCTGCATTTTCACCTAGTTTTAGTGATTTCTTCACCCTAATCCCTTTGATAAAAAGGTAGACCATCTCAAGATCTCCATTTTGATCTGAATAGAGTTCGATTTCGGCATCTTTGAAGTTTCACTCTTGCTTGGCTCGTCTTCTCTCTTTGAGGTGGGGATTTTCTACACTTTCATATGGTTTTTAGCTTCATTGTGTAGCAATGGTGGGATTTAAGAGTAGTTTGAACAAACCTAGGGTTTGGGGGTGAAATAAAAAGAGGGGTTTTTCGTAAATGTGAAATAAGTAGATATGGAGTTTGAATATGAGGTTATATTGTGTCAAAATTGTTGATTTTGATACTTGGGTTGATATTTGGGAAATGGGAAGTTTTGCCCTAATTGGATTAAATTGTTTTTTTGTATAAATAATTGAAATTGATAATGGTAATGTGGAATTGGATGATTATTGATGTAAATGGTAGAGTTGACACGTGTTGTCTCTCACCCATGGAAATTTGAAAAACGTATCTATTGAAAAAAATTTACATTTGTTTAGAAATCTTTGTATTGGGCTATCGGTAGAGGATAGCTATGATTGTTGTAGAAATTACATGAGAATTAGGTAAATTGAAATTAACCTATTGTTGGTTGTCATTGAATATGACTATGATTTATATATATTGTATATGTATGATTATTTAGGAGGAGAAAGGAGATTTACTCCATTGTTTGGGAGGATATAGGGGATGGACTCCATTAAAATTAAGTTGGCCAGAGTGTCCAGGATGAAAGTTCCGAAATCTTGTGTACACATGGGTGCCGATCCCGCGGACGAAATTTTCATAAAATGGCAGATTTGAAGTGTTTGTGTGATAGTGCATTGAATTGGAAAGCCACTGAGTTCAGTTGGGTTATTGAAAATGATGAAACTGACTCATGAATTGAGAATACTGAATGAACTTGAAATGAATTGAAATAAAATGAATTGAGATATGAACCTTGGCGTCTTTCGGTTATATAAATGGTGGAGATTTTGTCACCAACATTGTATATACACATTGTACTTACACATTGCACTTATATCTTTGTTAAATCTCATATACTGTGTTAGATTATTTCTACTGGACTTTGGCTCACCCTATTTGCTGATGACCTGCCTCTACCAGGGCAATAGCTTGGAGGGATTTTGAGGGCTAGAGCTTTTCTTTTTTTTTTTTCTTTTTTTTTTTTTGTATAGCCAAGGGTTTAAATTGTATTGAGCTCACTTTTGTGTAACCAAGTAATGGCTTGGAAAGATGTAAGCTTGTAGGGCATATGACTGTTTGTTTAGTTTCAATTCCTTTATCATTGCAACACATGTTGTAAATTCAGGATGAAATTTGTGATATATAATGCATGTGTTAACTTTTGTAAATGAATTCTGATGAATGAAAGTACCTTATATCTATTATCCTTCTGTTTATGAGTTGGATTAATGGTATTATTTTGGGGGCACTCCAAAAATGAAGTGTATGGTGTGTATTCAAACTTGGTGCAATGTAGACCATGCCTAGAACAAATCAAGTATGCACATTTCAATTTTGGGGTGCTTTTTTGTCCCCACATGTAAACCATCATAAAACACTTGATAAACTTGCAAGTTTGCAACCCCTCTAGTGTTTTACCATTAATTTCTGCATAAAAGGGATAAGGTAGAGAACGATCCACATAGGAACACCCCCACAAAGGCTTCTCTGGACTTTGCACACTATCTAAATACTAAATCTCAACATTTCATAATTGACAAGCGTGTAAGCTGCCCTACAGTTACAGTACATGGACATAACTATGAATGTACTAATGTTATTATCTAATTATTGTCAAAATTAGAATGAAATTTACGCACAAGCTCTCTCAAGATTCCAAAACAAAGAGCCAAAAGTAAAGTAAAAACACACCCAAGTGTCTGTTCTCAACGTGCCAATGACCCATAGGATGGATCTTGTATCAAAGTTTTGATTGTATATATAATAATAGTAATAAAAGTCACCCATAGTATCTGTGGTTCTAAAAGTCCAGGGTTAGCTTACCTCACTTCGTTTTGTGAATGAAAGCTACGGTCTCTCTTCCCTCATCTGACATTAGTCTCTAAGTTGCTTGTGTGAGCTTCACCTATATTCACTACGTCAGCTTGTTAGTCCTCAAAACCCATGATATTCCCCCAACATGTGGGTCTTCTATACTGAATCTCCAAATCTTTAGAGTGAATTATCAATAATACTATATAGAAAAGTACATCTATGGACCACAATCATTACCCACATCCCAACAACTTTAAATTTACACCATCCACCTCATTTTTGGGATAGAATGTGGGGCACAAATTCATGGTACATAGCATTTGCTGTGAAGTATTGCCAAAGCATCAAAAGATGCACTTGACTGACAACAATATTTTCCATTGTTCCTGTACTAAAGAATTTAATTCTGAAGCTAGTTGCTATATGCAGTATGCACAAACGTTCAACACCAATTTGTGTTTTATTGATCTTGTTGAGTACTGTTAGAAGTAGTCTTTGTGGTTAAAAGCATTTTGTATGTAGTCAGAATTTTCAAATGAACATAATTAGGCCTTTACATGTTAGTGAAGAATGTGCATTGGTCATCATACCACTTTTTTTTTTTTTGATCGGCAAAGAAAAAATTCCATTAAAACATGAAATTTAAAAGGTACAAGAAAAAAAACGCATTGAGAGAGATTCGAAGAGTAAAAATTCACTCTCCTACTACTGCTACTCACGTCTTTACAACCGACCCCTTAACCTCACAAATTATATTTTAAAATACAAATAAAACAACAAAACAAACCCAAAAAAACTACAATTCAAACTCTTGAGCCCCACACCTAACACTGAAACACAGAGAACACCCACACCTGCCGAAGACCACCTAAAGCACTGACACCTAAAACACTGAGCCCCACGCCTACTGCTGCCGAGAACCACCCATGACTGCAAACCCTGCTGGTTACTCCTCCTTGGCTCAACAAAATCCTAGCTCTCGTCTTCAACCTCCGCCGGAAACTGCTACTGGTGCCTCCTGTACAGCTGCTGCGGCCTCCTTAGGTTCTTCTTCAGCAGCCACTGGCTGCTGGTGCCTCCTCTACTGCCGCTGGTGTTGGAGCTGCTCGGCCTCTGGAAATGGAGCTGCTGGTGCCTCCTCTACTGCCGCTGGTGTTGGAGCTGCTCTGCCTCTGGAAATGGAGCTGCTTCAGCAGCCACGCTATTACTCTGAAAACCCAAATTACCAACTTAAACTTCTGCCACGGTTTAAGATGACCTTTCTCGTTATACCACTACTCTCAAGAATTGAAGAGAGTACACATAGGTGGTAAAAGATGACCTTTCTCGTTAAAAAACATGTCATTTCACTGTTTTTCTTTTTTCACCTTTTACATGGATCCACACAACAAATGTAATCTATATTAGTGATGCACAAAAGTGTGTATGGAATGAACATAAGTAACAATAACAACCACGAACAACTTGATCTAGAGAAACATTCTATGTAATTTATTAAATAATTCACCAACAATAATGATAGGATGACCATATATTCTTACCATGTTGTGTTTACCACCTTATGTGTTGATGAATACTATATTGGTTTAATGGGTCATGAGAGGTGGGACTCATTAAAGCAATATACTATTGACACATAAGGTGGTAAACACAACATGGTAAGAATACATGGCCATCCTAGCATTATTGATTCACCGATATGCATCAATATGCAAGACTCACTATATTCAAAAAAATAATAGAATCTATTATACCACATGACAAGCCACATAAGAGGTGAAAAGGTTCGGTGAAATACTCATAAAATGATATATAGCATCCCTCTTCTCATGACTTTATTTGTTTAATAATACTATAATGACCACAATTTTTTACCATATTAGGTTTTACCATCTCATGTGTTACAACTTCATTGCAAACAAACATCTCATCTATTACAGCTGCATTGCAAACATACATGAGTGGTGGAAGTATGTTTCCAATGCAGTGGTGAAACATGAGATGGAAAACAAAATGTGAAAAGAAATTTGTGGTCAGTGTAGAATTATTGATATTTGTTTTTTGTATTCTTTGTGAGGCGATTACCTGATGTTCATGTACTCGCGAAGGTATGCCTAACTTTCTACATCACATCTCCACATCTGAAAACCATCAAGTGTTTTTTGGGTGCAAACTAAAGAACTGCTCCATGTTTCCCAAAGAACAGGTCTTCTACTTCTAATCAGCTTTTGGAATTCCTTATAAAGCAAGAAATGCATCTGCTGCCACCATCCATCAAAAACTGATAACCAGTACTCTCTCTCTCTCTCTCTCTCTCTCTCTCTCTCTCTCTATACATTATTAAGTTCAACATGGTCCATATTTGTAGCTGATTGTTATACAACATTTCACCTAATTTTCATCAATAATAAGTTTTGATCACTTTATAAGTTGTATGTTTGGATCTGGCAGAGTAAACCAGAGACAAAACCGTAGGGTAATTCAATAAAAAGAGATGGGAAGAGGAAAAATTGTCATCAGAAGAATTGATAATTCGACGAGCAGGCAAGTGACTTTCTCAAAGCGCAGAAATGGATTGCTTAAGAAAGCCAAGGAACTATCAATTCTTTGTGATGCCGAAGTTGGAGTGATTGTCATCTCCAGTACTGGGAGGCTCTATGAATTTGCAAGCCCTAGGTCTCCCTCTCTCTCTCTCTCTCTCTCTAAAATTCTGCATCTTGGAGACTGATATCCCATTATTTATGTTGTTCCTAAATGCTTGTATCTATTTGTTCTATGTTTTTGTTTTGATTGTTTTCTGGTTTAACAGGAAATTCAATACTTCACAGATTTAGGATTTAAATCTACTGTTTGCCTTACAATGGACTAACATCTACCGTAAGTTGTGAATTGTGATGATCTAGTGAAAGTCTAATCACTTTTGTAAACGTTTTGAAAGATCATAGTCAAACATGCACCTGAATGCCAATACAAATAGAAAACTATCTAGTTTAAGGCTATGCTAAATGAAAATTTTATCAAACAATAAAAGTTGACCATGGAAACATTGCTTAGGGTTTAGCAGATTAGTGATGCATATTTTATGGCAAGTTTAAAATTGTATAAAATAGGCTAAGGTCTGTAGAAATTTGATGAGTTATGCTTCTAGGTGATGAGAATTTCCATTGAATAGTGAAAAGGAATGCAATGGCAATGCAATAGATGCTGTAAACAGTTGAGAGTTTTCTTACTATCACTAGTACCCTTATTTGGATGACTAGTGACCCTCTCACATCATGTGTGTGCAAAACAAAGTAGAGGGTGAGGTGGCTTAGGGAGACTGGAAAACTAGACTATTTTGAGATGTAAGTCTTCTAATATTCTTTTCCCAAATAGTTACTAATGGGTACAGTTTAAACAATACTGAAACTACCTTTTTGGATAATTTTGGTATAAGATTTAACATTACATAGCTTCATTTTTGCGTCCACGCCAATAAAGGTATTCGCTTAATAATATAGCATATAGATAATATGCTATTTTATGTATTTTACACTCCAATAACAAGCATAGGAGGAAAAGGAAAATTTATTAAACTATTAGAATCAGTTGGCATTAGATCTCTTCTTTCACTATCATTATCCAATAACTTCCTTACAATAAAAATTCATGCATAAAAAGGAGAAAATATTCAGAAATTATAATGATATTTCATGAAGAAAAAGAAAAAGAACGAAGAGTCAAGCTCAAGCCTACATTAGGGAAAAAAGAAGCCTTCTTGATCTTCTATTTTTTTTTATCAGCAAAAAGGAAACTTTATTGATAATAACAACATACATTTCATATGACATTACATCAATAAAGGAGGGAAGTGCATGAAGCTCAATCATGAGCTAGCACAACTACAAAGGATGGAGAGGAACCAACACAAACCAAGGAGAGAAAATAAGAAAAAAGAAAAAATAAAGAGGTGCTGCTGCTGCTGCACCTTCTAACCCAGACACCAAAAACACCCCAGACACTGCTACAATGCAACAATACTGCTGCGCCTTCTTGATCTTCTAATTAAGCATTATTGACCTAAATATTGGTGAAACAGGCAGCTCACAACAGAAAATCACTGTCAAGACATACTATAAAGGAGAATACTAAACTTCATTGCTTAATTCCTTCAAGATGCTCCTAACCCTCAAGTCAATTAGAGATTTCTTCAATGCAATTCAGCCAATAAACCAAGCCCTTTTTTTCTTAAATTTTAGTCTACTTAAATAACAATAAATTCAAACGCATGTTAACCCAATTATTATTAACTGACCTAGGCTTTGACATTCAAATTTTGTTAGTGAATTTCTCCTTGCTGCAAATAGATATAATAGGATAACCTGAACATCCGATCTTCAGATGTCACACACAAACAAGCAACATATTATGTAGTGTGGACCCATGTACCAACACACTCATGGACATTAAGCAAGTAAAGAAATATATATATAGACATAATTTAATGTTTATAGCGTTCCCCTTCTCATTTATTTTCTTTTTTATTGCCCTTTGAACTCTTTTGCACCACCAAGTGTCTCTAGATGAAAGCCTACTCCCTTCAATTCTCCAAAAACTCATTTTCCTACTTTTTTAACACAACTAGACATCTCACACCACATAATGTCAGTTTCCTCATTTGAAATCCATTGTCTTTCCTTGATCATCCTATTTTCAAAGAGTACTAAATTTTCATTTTTCAAGCTCCATACCTAGTTCCCCTTCTATTTTTAATTTATATTCTATCTCCTAATACATATATCTAATACCGTTAATTTATATTGCGAAATTAAGTTCTCATTACTATTATTTACAATCTCATACATATTCCTCTACCAACCTTATAGAAGGAAAATATATATATATTTTACTAACATTTTGTTCTACTTTTGAATGTTACTTAATTATCTATCCCTCGTTTTAAAACAAATGCTTGTTATTACACAGTACACAATTATATGCCATTACAAATTATATGATTGCGTATGTATTACCTCCATCATTTCTCATTCTAATCTTTGATCCATTATAGCTGTATTTGGTTAGAGGATTTGATGAGGGAAATGGAAAGGGAAAGAAAATAGAAAGAAAATGAGAAAGAATTAATAGGATTCGAATTCCAAGCTATGTTTGGTCGAGTTGGGAAATGGAGAAAGAAAGGAGCCTAAGTGAACCAAAAACACAAAGAGTGACTTTCTTTTCCATTGTGTTTTCCACTATAACCAAACAAAGAGTGAGATTGCATTTCCATTTCCATTTCCATTTCTCACACCAAATCCTCCAACCAAACATAGCCAATATCCATCCCTTTTTTCCCATTACTGTTCCGATATTCCAAATACCCAAGCACATCCTATTCTCTTTGACTAACTTCTTTACCTGCACTTGGCTATTAAAGTGTAGGAACTGTTGCCTACTTCTCACTGCATCTTGGCTCTAACATACTGCAACTCTAGCCCTCCCTATTTGCCGAGAGAAAGAGAGAGAGAATGAAAAATGAAAGAAAAAAATAAACTTAAATACATCGATGAGCTCGAGTCAATAGCCATTAAATTCAGATTTACATCCTTTCCTCCCCAGTGACAATCTTGATAGAAGGAACTCTTGCTCAGGCTTATGTTGTTTAAAACATACAAGCTGGTAATTCTTCAGTAGATTGTACAGTTTACACTATGAAAGTAACCAATATTTTTTGTTGTTTTTCCAGCAGAGAAAAATCAATATTATTTTGAATGACCATCTTACAAGCGCAACACATTTCTTTGCTTTACTTTTTATTTCTTTCAGGGAAAAAAACCAAACTCATTGTTCAATAGTTTTTTCCTTGCATGCACAAATGCCACACAACTATGATCTAGTAATAAGAAATGTAAGCAATTTAAAAACAAAAAATGTTGAGATCTTTCTGTCTGTTACTAATGACCTCTTCATATGATATAATGCAATGAAGTTCTTGCATTATAAGTTCATAAGTAAATATTGACAAACTGAGCAGCTAATGTTCTGACTTTACCTTATCAGCATGAGATCAATATTTGAACGATACAACAATGAGCAGGAGAATCATCAGCTTTTGAGTCCTACTTCAGAAGCCAAGGTATTCTTTCATGAGCAACTCACCTATTACCCTGCAAGCTTTCCTGCATTAGTATAGGATATTCAATTAGGTTTTGTTTTTGAATATATTGATTTAAAAGCTAAAATTTTTTGACAGACAGTTCTAATTTTATAGAACTCTTACCATCCAATGGATAGTCACACTTAACAGAAAATGAAACTCATACTAGAATCACTTAAAGCTATAAATTACATCAAATTGATACATGTTTTCCTCTTTTTCTATTTTGATGGGAGAAAGTGTTAGGGAATCCATAACATCTAACCAAGATGGGTGAAGTGAAAACACATAAATGAACAAACGCACAAGAAAGATACATCACATGCACACACGAAGAATACAAGATTTACATAGTTCACCCCAATCTAGGGCTACCTTCACAACTATTACAATTTTCACTATGATCAGAAAGGTTACAAGAGATTACAAGAAATAGTTGTCTTCCCTCAACTGCAATACATAGAAAATTAGGGGAACAGGTCACAAGTGTGGAAAGGCATGAGTGGTTAGTGTTCAGTACTTATCAACTAAGAAGCACGGAACACTACTAATAAGGTCACGGACACACACTCCTCAAACATATGTCCGATACTCTTTTTCAATGTCCATAATGTCCGATACTCTTTTTCATTGTCCATAATTAAAAATTAAAAAAAAAAATCTTAATTTCAGACACGTACCCAACATTCATTTTGCTTTCCATTACTTCTTAGCCATGTCTATCACTAGAAAATAAATATGAGACCAACACTTCTTGGGAATTTTCTAACACATGATTTTCAAAATTTGAGAATTTGACATAAATATTTTATACCTTTAAAAAAAATGTATAGTCATTAAGAATATATCCTATAGAAGTTTCACATAAAATCAAATGAAAAATCAAAAAGATACATACATGTATTAGTAGATCACGTAGGAAGATATGAGAAATGTTGCAATTATATATGTTTGTTGTAGTTTGTTTGATTTTTAACTATTATGATCCAGTAGTCTAAAAATTCATGTAAGACAATTAGATACAAGATTTACTTAGTATCTATTATTAAGTGAAGGCCTCATTTGCTACAGTGAAGCCTTTGCTCTCCTCATGTCACGTGGCAGTAGTTTTTTTTTTTTTTTTAAAAAAAGATACAGAAAGAGGTGGCTTGAACCCATGACCATGGGATTAAGGCAAGAGGACTCATACCACTTAAGTTAGGTATACATTATAATATTAATTTCATTATTATTTTTTTTTTATTCTTACTTATTTGAATTGCGCATGCCACCCGCTAGTAAAGTAATTTTTAATTTTGTATGTATCATGAACATATATAAACTATACAATAGAATATGTTCCTAAGATAATATAATATCAAGATATAATTATTTGTGGCTTGTCTGAACTATATCCATGTCCTACTTTTTTAGAATTCGCCGTTAACGTATCTGTGTCATGTCGTGTCTTATTTGTGTCTCATGTCCATGTCTATGCTTCATAGCTTATCAAGATCCACACTACCCCAATAGAAAGGCAGGAGTAAGGTGTTCAAACCCTTCAAAAGTCTAAGAATTCCTTATAAAAAAAAATATAAAAAAAAAAGAACATCAATAAAAGAAAACAAAGGTAATTTTTTTGACAGATTGCTTAAGTCAGGCCTATCACATTTGCTTTTCAATTTTTTGAAATTTCTAGCTTTGGCAAAGGGAGGCAGAAAGCTTAAGGCAACAGTTAAACTACTTGCAAGAAAGCCACAGGTATAATCACCGACAGAGACAGAGGGAGACGATCGCGATCGCGAGGGAGAGGGAGAGAGAGAGAGAGAGAGGCTTTTCGGGTGTTCGGTTGTTCGATCGACTGATGGAGCTGCGATCTTCGACTGGATCAAAAGGATGGAGCTCAATTGAGGTCTTCAATCTTCGACTGGTTCGACCAGGTTCTCTCTTGCTCTCACCTCTTTCATTTCTTTTGCACTATAAAGAGCCGTGTCCGAAAGTGAATAGGCGAATCCGACACAGATCCTGCACCCGTGTCGTGTCGTGTCGACACGGGTACTTCGCCCCAAAGTGGCGAGTCCATGTAATACAGGTGATAATCGACCCTAAATAACGAAAATGTTCACTCTTAGGTAGTTCTTGATTCTCAATTTTCACTTCTCCTCTGCTTTCATTGTTACTGTTACTAAATTTACACTCCATATACTCTGTCTTAGTTCTACTTATCCAGAATCCTTTAGATTCAAGAGCTTTTTTCCAAATCTCCAACTTTGTATTAACTCCTTCTCTAGTCTCATCCACTAGCACTATATCGTTTGCAAAAAGCATACACCATGGCACGTCATCCTGGATATTTTTTATCAACTCATCCATAACTAAAGCAAAAAGATAAGGACTTAAGGTAGATCCTTAGTAGAAACCTACAGTGATAGGAAATTCATTTGTCTCTCCAGCAGGCGATCTAAGAGTGGTCACCACCCCTACATACATGTCCCTAATCACATCAATGTAACCTTTTGTCACCATTTTTTTGTTAACACCCACCATATTATATCCCGGGGCACTCTATCATTTGCTTTCTCAAGGTCGATAAATACCATATGAATGTCTCTTTTCTTTTCTCTATACTTTTCTATTACTCTCCTCAAAAGATAGATCACTTTCATTGTTGTCCTGCCAAGCATAAACCTAAATTAATTCTGTAGCGCCTCCGTTATAGCTCGCAATCTGCATTCTATCACCCTCTCCTACACTTTCATTATATGACACATTAGCTTGATTCCTCTATAATTGTTGCAATTCAGGATATCACCTTTATTCTTATAGATTGGCACTAAAATACTCTTCCTCCACTCATCTGGCATGTTCCTAGTCAACAAAATTTTGCTAAACAACCTAATCAACCAAGCAACCCCCTTTTTACCCAAACACTTTCAAGCTTCAATAGGGATATCATCTGATCCTAAAGCCTTATTTGATTTCATCTTCTTAAGTGCATACAAAGTTCCTAATCCTACAATAGAACCTACAATCTTGGTTTATAATATTACTGGCTATTTCTTCCCTTATTGTCGTACCTCTATGTTCCTCAATAGTTTCTCAAAATAGTTCTTCCATCTTTCTTTAATCTCTTCATCCCTCACCAATACCTTAGAATCCTCACTCTTGATACACTTAACTTGATCAAAATCTCTTGTTTACCTTTCTCATATCTTAGCAAGTTTGTATACCCTCTTCTCTCCCTCCTTCCTATCTAGTCTAGTGTATAGATCATCATAAGCTTTCAACTTAACCTCTCTCACTACTTTCTTGACCTCCTTATTAGCCAATCTATAGCTCTTAAGGTTTTTCACGGTTCTATCATTTTGCCACTTTTTAAAGCACTCTTTTTTCGCCTTAACTACCGCTTGAACCTCTTCTCTCCACTACCAAGTTTCCCTAGAACTGTGTCCCGTTCCTTTCGACTCTCCAAGCACTTCCCTTGAGATTCTCCTCATACAATTGGCCATCGAGTTCTACATAGTGTTAGCATCATCTTCTAATACCCAAATACCTTCTTTATCCATTCTATTCTTAAATATTTCTAATTTATTCCCTTTTATGTCCCACCATCTCGTCCTACGACGCCCGCCATCCTTCCTAGCTTGGTATTGTCCTCTAAAATATAAATCTAGCACCAAAATCCTATGTTGAGAGATCAAGCTCTCTCCAGGAATTACCTTACAATCATTGCATTTTAGGCAATCCACTTTTCTCACTAAGAAGTAATCTATTTGGCTCTTAATTGACCCACTCTTAAAGTTTATCAAATGTTCCTCCCTCTTCTTATACATAGTATTGGCCACCACCAAGTCAGAAGTTAACGCAAAATCTAAAATACTCTCTTCAGCCTCATTTCTGTCACCAAAATCGTATCCACCATGCACACTTTCATAGCCTAGTTTATCTATGCCTATATGGCCATTAAAATCTCCACCTATAACCAGGTTCTCTCCTATGGGTATCTCTTGTAAGATCTCATCCATTTGCTCCCAAAAATCCCTCTTTGTCAGATCATCTAATCTTACTTAAGGGGCGTATACACTAATAACGTTCACTACATTCCCTCCAATAACTAGTTTAACTAACATAATCATATCCCCTTTTCTAATGACTGCCACTACATTCTCCACAAGACCCTTGGCAATTAAGATTCCTACCTCATTCCTGCGTCTATCCTTACCACTATAATACAGTTTAAAACCGGTATCCTCAATTTCACTAGCCTTCTCACCCGTCCACTTAGTTTCTTGTACGCAAGCTATACTAACTCTCTTCCTAATCATAATATCTACCAACTCCATCGTCTTACAGTTAAGGTTCCTATATTCCAAGTAGCTACCCTAAACCTATAGTCTTGGACTAGTTTCTTTACCCGCGCTCGTCCAAAAAAACGCGGGAACCTTTGCCCATTTTTCACTGCACCCAGGCGTCGATGCGACGCCCCTTGCTCACTTTTCGAAACACCTGGAGCCAGGCGCAACACGTCACTTGAGGGTAACGACCTAGCATTTAAATGATTCAAAGTATGATTCATTGTCATAAGGGATCCGAACGGCTTTTTTACGTGTTGGCTGTCGGCTACCTAACACACAACCCTCCTCCTTAACCCGAGCTTGGGACTAACGGAGATGTTAACAACCCCAGCGGAGTTTTCTTAGCCATGTCTATCACTAAAAAATAAATATGAGACGAACACTTCTTGGGAATTTTCTAACACATGATTTTCAAAATTTGAGAATTTGACATAAATATTTTATACCCTTAAAAAAATGTATAGTTATTAAGAATATATCCTATAGAAGTTTCACATAAAATCAAATGAAAAATCAAAAAGATACGTACATGTATTAGCAGATCACGTAGGAAGATATGGGAAATGTTGCAATTATATATGTTTGTTGTAGTTTGTTTGATTTTTAACTATTATGATCCCATAGTCTAAAAAATTCATGTAAGACAATTAGATACAAGATTTACTTAGTATCTATTATTAAGTGAAGGCCTTATTTGGTACAGTGAAGCCTTTGCTCTCCCCATATCACGTGGCAATATTTTTTATTTTTTAAAAAAAAAAGATACAGAAAGAGGTGGGCAAGGCTTGAACCCATGACCATGGGATTAAGGCAAGAGGACTCATACCACTTAAGTTAGGTACACATTATAATATTAATTTCATTATTACTTATTTTTATTCTTACTTATTTGAATTGCGCATGCCACCTGCTAGTAAAGTAATTTTTAATTTTGTATATATCATGAACATATATGAACTATACAATAAAATATGTTCCTAGATAATATAATATCAAGATATAATTGTTTGTGGCTTGTCTGAACTATATCCATGTCCTACTTTTTTAGAATTCGCCGTTAACGTATCCGTGTCATGTCGTGTCTTATTTGTGTCCCATGTCCATGTCTATGCTTTCATAGCTTATCAAGATCCACACTACCCCAATAGAAAGACAGGAGTAAGGTGTTCAAACCCTTCAAAAATCTAAGAATTCCTACAAAAAAAAAAAGAAAAAAAAAAGAACATCAATAAAATAAAACAAAGGTAATTTTTTTGACAGATTGCTTAAGTCAGGTCTATCACATTTGCTTTTCAATTTTTTGAAATTTCTAGCTTTGGCAAAGGGAGGCAGAAAGCTTAAGACAACAGTTAAACTACTTGCAAAAAAGCCACAGGTATAATCACCTTTTTCTTTATCTTATTTTCAATAAATATGATCACACATAAAATGTGTGATCAATGATCATATGTAAACCATAAAATTGCCAAAATTGTATTACATTGCATGTGCAAAAACAAAATATTATATGCTTATTATACATTTTTAACATGTCAATATCAAACCACATTTGTGCTTAGTCGCAGCATGATGTAGTACAGCTTTAGAAAACTTGGAACACTGCAATCTACAATTGGAATTTATGGTGGGTTTGGGACAAGGAAAGCTTCTACATATAGGGTCTACAAGGGTAGAAGAAAGGTTGTATGCTATGGGATTGAAAGGGACTGAGATTAGGTTGCTTTCAACACTAACAGTCTAAGAAATACGGACGCTTCTATGGAGGAACCGTGTTATGCGTACATGACACTATGAAGACACTCCTAAAAGCGTGCATGTCCAACACTTCTTTAACGTGTCGTACTTAAAAATTTTAAATTCATAATATCGAACACTTCTCAGACTCTTCGGTAACACTTCTTGAACCCTCTGAACACGACCTATGTGATAAATCTCTCCATCGTAATAATGTCCATGTTGTGCCATGTCGGTGTCACATGTCAATGTCTATGCTACTTAGATAATAGCTCGCAGAAGTTTCATAAAAGGTGTTCCAGAATCTTGGGAAAATATTTGCAAGTTTTGATGTTAAATTAAAGGCTATTGGCTAAGGGAAAGGGTTAAAGCTCATAATTGATTGGAAACACTACTAGTTCTACCCTAGTATTCTACATTTCAGAACAAATGTTCCAGAAATGGTACATTTCCATTCCAAAACACAAGACAAGACACAAAATTTAGTGATCTGATAATTTTTTCCCATTTATTGCCTTAGTATTTTCTTATGAGAAAAACACGAGTTATAATGAAGTAATATCTTGAAAGAGTGAAGTTCTGCCAAGCAAAAGATCTAAAGAAAAGGATCCATATCGCACCACTAGGCTCATCCTCTATTATCAGAATCTTATGATTCGTGATTCGATTCACAATTCGATTTACAATTTTTGCAAAATTGATACGAATCTCTTTTGGAAGTAAATTTCTAGTGAATCGCACGATTCACAATTTATTCACGATTCGAGTCACTTTTTACGATTCATGCAATTCTTGAAATTATCAAGTCCGATATATTTTTTACTTTTTATTGCTCTATCTTCTTATTGAAAATGACATAATATAACTTTTAATAGCATTTAGTACCACAATAACCAATATATGTACCTGATTTGTTGTTATTTTAGTGATCATAGAGTTTTTAATAGGATCCAATCAAATTCCGTCAAACCTAATAACCTTTATTCTTTTTTTTTTCTTTAAATAATCATAATATATCTTCTAAAGATGTTTAAGATTAAAATAACTTATACCATGAATTATCTATTGCTATTTTATCAAATTAAATATAGTTGCATATTACATAGACGAGGTCAATTATACATTTGAAAATATTTTAGACTTTAAAATAAAATATCCTAAATAATGTTTTCTTATTATTTGGTCATTGTTACTTGGAAAAAGTATGTATGCTTATTGTCCAAATATTAATATCATTGTCAAATTGTTGTTATTTTGGAAATTGAGAGTTTTTCTTTGTTTACTGTCTTTATTAAGAATGGTTGATAAGAAATATCTAAAAAAGGAAAAAGGTAAGATAGTGATCTTACATAGGAACCTTTGTTAACTTCTTACCTATTAAACTACATGATCATCATTCAAAACAACATTTTTATTGATTTAAATCTAAATATTTCATATTCATAAGATATATTTCACATCCAAATGTGCAGATATATTTTTCCAAATAGTTTAGAAAAAGTGACCGAACCTTTACGATTCACGATTCAATTCGATTTACGATTTGAATCCCGATTTGACAACTGTAGGCTCAACTTATATAGGAGATACAAAAATGTGCTTTTAAATAATCAATTTGACCATGAGAAAATTTCAAAGGTATGTAAACATGCATTTTTACATTTGATTAAATGTACAATTGTTAGTTGATAATCAGTCTCACACTTGGAGGTGGATTAATCCATTCCACCAATGTGATCTACATAAGCATACCCTCATGTTCTATATTATGAACCATGTTCTCACTCTTCCAAATGATTGACATTCCAAGTAACATTGATTATAATGTTTCCTCTTATTATACTACTTAATGTGTAGATACAGTAAAAAAAAATACTACAAGCATTTAAACAATCACCATTTATAACGCATGGACTCCAAACTAACAGCAGTTGAAAACTTTAAATTGGTTGACTTCTGGCTTTATCCTTCGTGCACAAACCAGTGAAAAGATGATGCAACAAAAGTATAAAGTCCTTGTGCATCACAAAATAAAATATTTTGTGTATAACCATTTGAGGACACACCTATAGAATCCCAGAACTTCACCTACACTTCCACTGTGATAATAATTTTAGAAAATTGACGGGAGAAGAACTTTCGGATTTGAGTGTGGAAGATCTGGAAAATCTAGAAGGCCAATTGGAAACGAGCTTGAAGGGTATCCGAACAAAAAAGGTACAAAAAATTTAGATGCTATGCAATTTATTATTCAGTGATATTCAAGTTACAAAATACAAAACACTTATGTGATCCTTATTTGGTTTTTGACTTCTGCAGCACCAAATTTTAACTGATGAAATACAAGAATTAAACCAGCAGGTCTTCTCAAAATTTTACCACAAGTAGTACCAGTTTCTGTTTAGGGGCCAATTTTACTTCAGAGTAGCTAACTTCAACTGATTCCACTGCAGGGAGTTATTAGTCATCAAGCAAATATGAAATTGTATAAGGAGGTTAATGTCCTGCGACGAGATAATGCAGAATTACATAAAAAGGTACCGACTGCTTGTATTGACTTTAAATATTTATTTAAAATAAAGAACTTACATACTCGATTTTATTTACAAATTCATCCAATGTGAAAGTTGTTCTCTACAAAGCCTAAGAATTTCTGTTTCAGGCTTATGGAGCAAATGACGTAAACAGAAGTTCCTTCAAACCATATGGTTGCAGCAATGGATATGACTTACATGTACCTATACAACTGCAGCTAAGCCAACCGCAACAAACACACAATGAAACACCAGAAACGCAAGGAATCTAGGGTAGTCTTTCTGCTAGGTACTCTGAAGAAATAAATCAGAAACTAACAGTACCAGATCATATTCTTTTAACATTAATTCTGTCACATCTTCTTCGAAATCACAGATGATTACAACTGCCTTAACAAAGCAGACAGACAACTGTGGGGAATATAGTCAATTTTCATCAACTACTTGCCCTGGAGTGACAAAAATCATTGTTTGCAAACAAGATTGTGTGTGTAAGATAGTGGAAAATAGACATTCAGTATAAACATCAACAATTTCGTAATGATATGGTACTTGGATTAAACTTAAGATTGTTGTGGTATGATCAATCACCTTGTGGTATGATCAATCACCCACCAACTTAATGTAACAATTAGAAATAATAAGTTATTTCAGGGTCCAAGTAAAATTTTAGATGTTTTATTATCAAAATTTTTAAAATAGACATTTTGACCCCCACCAATTCAACGCTGAATTTTCCATACTTAATTTTCAGTTTTATCAAGCAGCCTCTAAAATGATTGGAAAGTTAGGGATGATTAGTTAGGATTCTTTAGGCTTATTTCTTATTACAATTGAAAACATTTAGTCATTACACAATAAGATTATGGCTTACGAAAATAAGGCCATGAGTTTAAGTATTAACAATAACACTTTTCACCAAAAGAATAAAATTGTTTTCTTTTTAGTCTAATCACCCTCGCCGAGTCTAAAAGCGCAATTTGACTCAACGAAAAGGTTGTGTATATATATTGCTTCATGCAGTGGGTCGTCTTTTTTTCAACCCTTGAACTGAGTTAGATTCAGATCCATTTCTGTTTTATAATTAAAAAAAATAAAATAAAAATCTCCCAATTTCATTAGATGGGATTGTATCAATTTTGTAAATAACAACTCCCTAAAAGAGAACCAACAAATATAAATATACTATCAATCACTGACCCCAATGGCATATAGAAAAATGCCTGGTAGCTCCACAGACAAAGGGCTCAAATGGCCCGAATGTCTCACTCTCTTTCTCTTTCTCTTTCTTTGTTTTTCTTTCCCTTTCTTTTTCTTCTCTATCTCTCTTCTTCTCCAACAGATTTTCTCTCTTCTCTGTATCTCTCTCCTTCTCCAAAAGCATCCCTCTCATGCCTGAGAGATTTTGCAAATTCTGATTCGATTTCACTAGAAAGGAACCACGATCTATGGCTGTGTCAACAGATTTGGGTTTGATTTTTTTATTTTGACTGTGGATTTGGTTTTGATTTTGGATTTTAATTTTGATTCTGAGTTTGGATTCAGAAAACCCCAAAATCAACATAATGAAAATGATTAATTTCAACAAACAAATGATTTATTAGTTGTGTTATGATTTGTATTGTTGTCTGGTTTTTGTTGGTTTTGAAGGCGTTATGATATATATGCATACACACACTGATATATATATGTATTGTGAACACGGATATTGGTTTTATAGCCGGCGGCCATAAAAAAACCGCCGGCCAACTTTGAGCTTGATTTTTCTTGTTCTGTTCTGCTGCTTTTTTGTTTACTTTTTTTTTTTTTTTTTTTAAATTGTGGTTGTGGGTTTGGTTTTGATTTTAGGTTTTGATTTTGATTTTGATTCTGAGTTTGGATTCAGAAAACCCCAAAATCAACATAACGAAAATGATTAATTTCAACAACCAAATGATCTATTGGTTGTGCTATGATTCATATTGTTGTCTGGTTTTTGTTGATTTTGGGAAAAAAAAAAAAAGTGCTTCAAGCCACTCCTTATTCAAGCTACCCAGCAGCTCTGTGGCATATAATATTGAAAATTGTACAAAACACATGATTTACAGAAGAGACCCAAAAACTTACAAAATTTGTTGAGACCCTTACAATTTATCCAATAAAATAGTAAACTATGTATGTCATATAATTGCAAACATACATACCAAGTCAATTTAGCATAAAACCCTGAAACAATTTTATATTTAAATATAACAACAATATAATATAAATGACAAAAGAATGCATTGTCTTACCTGTTGGGCGTAGATGCTTGAACATTTCAAGAAGGCTTTGGTGGGCGATCTCATAGAATAAACAAATGGGCTACAATTGACTGTCAGATCCACGAATCATCCATGTTTAGGCATTTTGATGTGTACGGAGTTCCATGTTGTATGTGTATTGGGGTGTCTGTATGTATACATATGGGATTCACAAAGTACAGAACGGTTCTTCATGCACAGTGGTGATTTGTTTAGGGCATAGCACAGTGCCCATTTGGGAATTTGAGAATTTTTATATTTTTTCTTCAGAAAATTACATTCAACCCTCTTACAAATTTTTTTTCTAATTTTTATTAATAATTTGTTATTTATATAAATACAAAAATAGTATTGTTATTTATTTTATTAAAAAAAATTAAAAAATCAATTATATATTTTTAAAATATATAAGTGGATTCAAATTTTAAAATAATTAATGAAAATAATAATAATAAATATTTAAAATTCAAATATGAAATTTTTGAATTTCTAAAGCAAAAAAAAAGCAATTTAATTTTGATTCTATTTTTTTTTTCTTTTCTTTTCTTTTTAAGCATCTCAACATGAATAGGGTACAATTCAAACGAGTTTAGTCGGATTGAAAGATTGCCAAAGACTAGCTTGAGTTGTGTTGCGAGTTGCCCAGTGCTACTCAAACCCGAATTATAACGAAAGATTGTTTGTCTAAATCTGACTTGAGTTATTGCCCGAGTTGTCCAAATTATCTTAATTGCACAAAAAATATGCATTTTTTTCCAACTAATTTAATTAATTTATTAAATTATATTATATTATTTTTATTTTTTTAAAATCATCAATAACATCAAACTAAATAATTTATAAAGTGTTAGAGAGGTAAAAGTTGAAAAAAATTATTTTTAGATTTTTTTTATAAAAAATATATTTAAATTAATTTAATAATGATTTCAATGATATCAAAGTTGAGGTCATATTTGGCTTGAGTTTTTGGGATTATTTTTTTTTTAAAAAAAGAAATTTGAAAATTAAACATTAATTTGATAAAAATAAATATAAAAAAAATATTTTTACTCTTCGTGGTTGAAGGAGAAACAAAGAGATCATGGAAATGGTTTTTTGAACTATTACAAGAAGATCTTAGAATAGTAAACCACCAAGGATTTACTTTTATGTCTGACAAACAAAAGGTATGTTCAACAATATGTATACCATCTTATGAACTTTCTTTTGTTATGAAGTGTTTGCTCAATTTCCAATTGTGTTTGGTATGTTTATGCAATTTCAGGGTTTGATTCCAGCACTAGCAGAGGTCATTTCAAATGCCGAGCATAGATTCTGTGTAAGACATATGTACAACAACTTTTAGGATAATCACAAGGGTGTTCTTCTTAAAGATTTGCTATGGAGTGCAGCCAAAGCCTCTTATGTTCAACAATTTGAATTTCATATGCAAGAAGTTAAAGAGGTTGATGAAGATGCATTTAAGTGGTTGGCTGAGAAACTAGCTAGCTTTTGGTCTAGATCTCACTTCATCACTCACAGTAAGTGTCACATGTTGCATAACAACAATTGTGAAGTTTTAATTCTAGAATTTTGGATGCAAGATCTAAGACAATATTACCTATGTTGGAGGACATAAGGTGTATTCTAATGAGTAGAATGCAAAGGAGGAGGGAAATCATGTGGGCATATCAAGGCCTTTGTGTCCCACCATACAAAAAAAAAAAAAAAACCTTGAGAAAAGTCTCAATTGGGACACCACAACCCCTTGTTGTGATTCGATTATTTTATGTCAAAAACATTAATTTTTTTTTTGTTTTTTTGAACTCGAACATATGGTATTAGTAATTAGACCAAATTAATAAAAAGCTTAAAAATAAAAATGAAGATTAAATTAATCAAAAGTATAAGAATCTATACTATGAAAATTGTAACCAACTTCTCAATTTTTAAAAGTATAGATTAAAAAGTCACTAAAAAGTTAAAATAATGTCAATTTTTAACCAACTTCTCAAAACACTCAAATATTGAAAATTGTACAAAACACATGAGACCCAAAAACTTACAAAATTTGTTGACACCCTTACAATTTATCCAATAAAATAGTAAACTATGTATGTCATATAATTGCAAACAAACAAACCAAGTCAATTTAGCATAAAACCCTGAAACAATTTTATATTTAAATATAACAACAATATAATAAAAATGACAAAAGAATGCATTGTCTTACCTGTTGGGCGTAGATGCTTGAACATCTCATAGAATAAACAAATGGGCTACAATTGATTGTCAGATCCACGAATCATCCGTGTTTAGGCATTGGGGTGTCTGTATGTATAACCCATATGGGATTCACAAAGTACAGAATGGTCGCACAGTGGTGATTTTTTTTAGGGCACGGTACCAATTCGGGAATTTGAGAATTTTTTTTTTTTTTCTTCAAAAAAATTACATACAACCTTCTTATAAATTTCTTTCCACTTTTATTAATAACTGGTTAGTTATATAAATACAAAAATAATATTCAGTGTGTTTAGTTAGAATTTTTTGAATTATATTTTTTGAAAATTGAAATTTTTTTCCTTGTGTTTTTGTTTTTAGTGAATATTTTTAAAATTTTAAGTATTTTTTTTTTACTTTTTTAGATGTATCTTACTTAGATGTATCTAAAAAGTAAATATTTGTGAAAAATATTTTAAAAAATTAATAAATACACAAAAGTATGAAAAATATACTGAATTTTTATATTTTTGGTGTTTAGTAGATTTTTTAAAGATTTTTTTCACAAAAACTATACTTTTTAAGTGTATTTATGTTAGGTGTGTCTAAAAATTAAAAAAAAAATTTGCTTAAAATATTAAAAAAATTCAATAAAAATAAAAAAAGATGCGAAAAACAAAAAATTATAATTTTTTGAAAACCCAAACCAAGCAAATTTATTTTTAAAGATTTTAAAAAAATCAATTATATATTTTAAAAATATATAAGTGGATTCAAATTTAAAAATAATTAATGAAAAAATATTTTTAAAAAATCAAAATTCAAATATGAAATTTTGGAATTTCTAAAGCAAAAAAAGGCAATTTAATTTTGATTCTAGTTTTTTTTTTAACTTGAGTTATTGCCCAAGTTCCCCAAATTATCTTAATTGCACACAAAAAAATGTATTTTTTTTCCAACTAATTTAATTAATTTATTAAGATTATATTATATTACTTTTATTTTTATTTTTTTAAAATCATTAATAACATCAAACTAAATAATTTATAAAATGTCAGAGAGGTAAAAATTAAAAATTTTATATGCGCTATGTTGGTCTTTATAAATTTTAAATGAGAAAAAAAATAATTTTGTATTGTATTATTTGTGTTTATGATATATGATAGGGTAATTTATAAAGAAAATTGGGCCGAGCTACGATCCATTAATCTCTGTTTTGGGCCAGACTAAGGATCGGGGTATGGGCTTTGGGTAGCTCGGTCCCAGGTCGTTTGGGTACCAAACTGGGCAGAAACTTCGGGAGTGGTTTGACCGAACTACCTAAAGCTAGGCCTGATGGCTGGACGAGGTGTTAGTAAGAAGGAAGGCCGAGCTAGGTGTGGCTCGGTCGAATGCCATCTACAGCATTGCTTAGTTAAGAGCACGACAGAAATAAGCTAGCTCGGTTAAACCGTACCAACATGGACAAGAAGAAAACTATCTCACTTGGTTGGTAGTTTATGATACTGAAACAGAACCCAATGCAAAATGACTTTGGTGGATAAATTGGCCTCAAAGCTCCACCACCACAAATGAAATAGTATTATAATTTACACTGCCAAGTACATTACATAAACTAATCATATCCAGAAAAAACACTATAATATAAACTGAGCAGATTTACCATTTTCAGCGTTTGCATCACATTTCTTTAACACACAACAGACAAATCTTAGCAAGATGAACCATAACAACTACATCAATATAGTTTTTTTTTTTTTTTTAACCATACTGATATCCTTGCAACAAACACCATATCCAGAAAATAATGGTGGATGAAGATGAGGTGAGAAAACCAAAAAAAATTCATCCAGTGACATTATTTTCCAAACTAAAATTTTCACAAAGCATATACAAACTTCTCATTCTCAAGGTTACTATTGTTTCCAATATTATTCGCATGTTTAAGAGTGAAACCAAGTACTATGTAACAAAAACAAGAATGCTAGCATATATAATCAATCCACCTACTATCCCCATCTGGCTGATCTGGCCATGGCAATAATGAAATTCAGGATTTAATCCCCCCATTTCTTAAACAAAAGTAACGGAGATTGAAAAGTTATTGGACGACAATAAATTGAAGAATATACGAATCTTCGTATAATTAGAAATTATGGTTTTTAATAGGATTTTATTTCTTTATTAGTTAGCTTCCTATTCCTTTTGGTTTCATAGTTAGTGCTTATGCCTATGGCTTTTATGTAATGGTTTAGATACTAGACTGGACTTTTGATATGAATATTGATTTGGGATTGGTTCTCTGGTCTCTCATCTTCTTTTTCTTTTTTTTTTCTTTTTTTTGATTGGCACTGGGATGTCCAAATCAAAACCCAACTAATCTCCAAGGGTGCACAAGCCCTTGGCAAGGAGTTTCCTGCAAGTGTACCATGGTTAATTTAAGGGTTTTCTCCTAGTCCGATGGTCCCAAGGAATTGTTAGCACCTAAGAGGTTTCGATCTGGAACCTTGGAGAGAGCACACCCCCAAGATCCAAGGCCTTGCCACCAACACCTTTTGATGCTACATCACAACGTTGTTATGATCTCAGTAACTAGTGGTGAATGTTCGGAAAAAACAAAAAATAAAGAAATAAAAAGAGTAACTAGTGAGTAAAGCTATAGCCTATAAAATACAAAACCATTCTGGAAATGATACGTAAAGGTTTTACATGAATCACTAAAACGGGGTGGCATACATAATCGTGAAATTCAAAACAAGCAATTCACAAATAAAGATCTATCACACATTTTATCCATGCACAAACTCACCATACCTTCTGTGAAAAAATTATGTACCCTAAAAATGTTATAGCGATCCTAGTTTTGACCCGACTCTTGTGGTAACCCGAACTCGGGTTTAATGATTTCATATTGTTGATTACCTTTTTCTCCCCTTGTACCTCCTTGAAATTGGCTTTAGGGTTGTCGTGGTTGTGTTTGGGCAGGTTGGTCGCTTGTTTTTCAAACCTTGTGCTACCCAGAATTTTGGTCCTTCGCTCGAGCGGCACTTCCTGCGCTCGAGCGGGCTTTGCAAACACTTAGTACTTTTGCAAATCTACAAAATTACTGGGAGAGTGATTTCTATGCTCGAGCGGGTGGGCACTCGAGCGGTCTTTCTTGCGCTCGAGCGTTGGTCTGTTGTCTGCAAAACTGTTGGATGTGTGTTTTCCACGCTCGAGTGTCACGTCTTGCGCTCGAGCAGTGAATGTCTTGTCGATTGTGTCTTGGCGCTCAAACGGAACAACTTATTGTGTCTGACGCTCAAGCGTCAACTCTTCCGCTCGGGCAGACTGTACGTATATTAGATCGTGAAAATGATTTTTTACATCACTTTTTCAGATCTTTTCTCCCTAAAACCTAAAGTTAAGACCCTCTCGACCCTTTCTCTCTAAAATACTCTTTCTCTCTACATTTTCACTTAGTTTTAGTGATTTCTTCACCCTAATCCCTTTGATAAAAAGTTAGACCATCTCAAGATCTCCATTTTTATCCGAATAGAGTTGGATTTCGGCATCTTTGAATTTTCACTCTTGCTTGGCTCGTCTTCTCTCTTTGAGGTAGGGATTTTCTACACTTTCATATGATTTTTAGCTTAGCTATTTGTCATTGTGTAACAATAGTGGGATTTGAGAGTAATTTGAACAAATCTAGGGTTTGGGGGTGAAATAAAAAGAGGGGTTTCGGTGAATGTGAAATAAGTGGATATAGATTTTGAATATGAGGTTATATTGTGTCAAAATTATTGATTTTGGTACTTAGGGTTGATATTTGGGAAATGGGGAGTTTTGCCCTAATTGGATTAAATTGTTATTTTGTATAAACAATTGAAATTGATAATGGTAATGTGAAATTGGATGATTATTGATGTAAATGGTGGAGTTGGACACGTGTTGTCTCTCACCCATAGAAATTTAAATAACGTATCCGTTGAGAAAATTTTATATCTGTTTAGAAATATCTATATTGGGCTATCGGTGGAGGATAGCTATGATTGTTGTAGAAATTGCATGAGGATTAGGTAAATTGAAACTAATCTATTGTTGGTTGTCATTGAATATGACTATGATTTATATACATTGTATATGTATGATAATTTGGGAGGAGAAAGTATATGTACTCCATTGTTTGGAAGGAGATAAGGGATAGACTCCATTAAAATTAAGTTGGCCGGAGTGTTCAGGGTGAAAGTCCCGAAATCTTGTGTACACATGGGTGCCGATCCCGCGGACGAAATTTCTATAAAATGGCAGATTTGAAGTGTTTGTGTGATAGTGCCTTAAACTGGAAAGCCACTGAGTTGTAATCTCAGTTGGGTTATTGAAAATGATGAAATTGACTCATGAATTGAGAATACTGAATGAACTTGAAATAAATTGAAATAAAATGAATTGAGATATGAACCTTGGCGTCTTCGGTTATATAAATGATGGAGATTTTGTCACCGGCATTGTATATACACTTTGTACTTATATCTTCGTTAAATCTCATATACTGTGTTAGATTATTTCTACTAGACTTTGGCTCACCCTATTTGGGAAAAACTATTTTCAGGTGCGTGTAACCTGCCTCTACTAAGGCAATAGCTTGGAGGGATTTTGGGAGCAAGAGCTTCTTTTTTTTTTTTCTTTTTTTTTTTTCTATTATATTCTTTGTATAGCCAAGGGCTTAAATTGTATTGAGCTCACTTTTGTGTAACCAAGTAATGGCTTGGAAAGATGTAAGCCTGTAGGGCATATGACTGTTTGTTTAGTTTCAATTCCTTTATCACTGCAACGCATGCTGTAGATTCAGGATGAACATTTGTGAATGTATAATGCATGTGTTAACTTTTGTAAATGAACTCAGATGAATGAAAGTACCTTATATCTGTTATCCTTTTGCTTATGAGTTGGATTAATGGTATTATTTCGGGGGCGTGACAAATGTACTCCAAAAATGAAGTGTATGGTGTAGATTCAAACTTGGTGCAATGTAGACCATGCCTAGAATAAATCAAGTATAAACATTTCAATTTTGGGGTACTTTTTTGTCCCCACATGTAAACTATCATAAAACACTTGATAAACTTCCAAGTTTGCAACCCCTCTAGTGTTTTACCATTAATTGCTGCATAAAGGGGACAAGGTAGAGAACGATCCACATAGGAACACCCCCACAAAGGCTTCTCTGGACTTTGCAAGCTAGCTAAATACTAAATCTCAACATTTCATAATTGACAAGCATGTAAGCTGCCCTACAGTTACAGTACAGGGACATAACTATGAATATACTAATGTTATTATATAATTATTGTCGAAATTAGAATGAAATTTATGCACAAGCTCTCTCAAGATTCCAAAACAAAGAGCCAAAAGTAAAGTAAAAACACACCCAAGTGTCTGTTCTCAATGTGCCAATGACCCATAGGATGGATCTTGTATCAAAGTTTTGATTGTATATATAATAATAGTAATAAAAGTCACCCATAGTATCTGTGGTTCTAATAGTCCGGGGTTAGCTTACCTCACTCCCTTTCGTGAATGAAAGCTACACTCTCTCTTCCCTCATCTGACATCAGTCTCTAAGTTGCTTGTGTGAGCTTCACCTATATTCACTACGTCAGCTTGTTAGTCCTCAAAACCCATGATATTCCCCCAACATGTGGGTCTTCTATACTGAATCTCCAAATCTTTAGAATGAATTATCAATAATACTACATAGAAAAGTACATCCATGGACCACAATCATTCTAAGTGTGACCCACATCCCACCAACTTTAAATTTACACCATCCACCTCATTTTTGGGATAGATTTCGGGGCACAAATTCATGGTACATAGCATTTGCTGTGAAGTATTGCCAAAGCATCAAAAGATGCACTTGACTGACAACAATATTTTCCATTGTTCCTGTACTAAAGAATTTAATTTTGAAGCTAGTTGCTATATGCAGTATGCACAAAAGTTCAACACCAATTTGTGTTTTATTGATCTTGTTGAGTACTGTTAGAAGTAGTCTTTGAAGTTAAAAGCATTTTGTATGTAGTCAGAATTTTCAAATGAACATAATTAGGCCTTTACATGTTAGTGAAGAATGTGCATTGGTCATCATACCACTACTTTCGAGAATTGAAGAGAGTACACATAGGTGGTAAAAGATGACCTTTCTCATTAAAAAAACATGTCATTTCACTGTTTTTCTTTTTTCACCTTTTACATGGATCCACGCAACAAATGTAATGTATATTAGTGATGCACAAAAGTGTGTATGGAATGAACATAAATAACAATAACAACCACAAACAACTTGATCTAGAGAAACATTCTATGTAATTTATTAAATAATTCACCAACAATAATGATAGGATGACCATATACTCTTGCTATGTTGTGTTTACCATCTTATATGTCGATGAATACTATATTGGTTTAATGGGTCATGAGAGGTGGGACTCATTAAAGCAATATATTATTGACACATAGGGTGGTAAACACAACATGATAAGAATACATGATCATCCTAGCATTATTGATTCACCAATATGCATCAATATGCAAGACTCACTATATTCAAAAAAATTAATAGAATCTATTATACCACATGACAAGCCACATAAGAGGTGAAAAGGTTCGGTGAAATACTCCTAAAATGATATATAGCATCCCTCTTCTCATGACTTTATTTGTTTAATAATACTATAATGACCACAATTTTTTACCATATTAGGTTTTACCATCTCATGTGTTACAACTTCATTGCAAACAAACATCTCATCTATTACAGCTGCATTGCAAAACATACATGAGTGGTGGAAGTATGTTTCCAATGCAGTTGTGAAACGTGAGGTGAAAAACAAAATGTGAAAAGAAATTTGTGGTCAGTCTAGAATTATTGATATTTGTTTTTTGTATTCTTTGTGAGGCGATTACCTGATGTTCATGTACTCGCGAAGGTATGCCTAACTTTCTACATCACATCTCCACATCTGAAAACCATCAAGTGTTTTTTGGGTGCAAACTAAAGAACTGCTCCATGTTTCCCAAAGAACAGATCTTCTTACTTCTAATCAGCTTTTGGCATTCCTTATAAAGCAAGAAATGCATCTGCTGCCGCCATCCATCAAAAACTGATAACCAGTACTCTCTCTCTCTCTATTTCTCTCTCTATACATTATTAAGTTCAACATGGTCCATATTTGTAGCTGATTGTTATACAACATTTCATCTAATTTTCATCAATAATAAGTTTTGATCACTTTATAAGATGTATGTTTGGATCTGGCAGAGTAAACCAGAGACAAAACCCTAGGATAATTCAATAAGAAGAGATGGGAAGAGGAAAAATTGTCATCAGAAGAATCGATAATTCAACGAGCAGGCAAGTGACTTTCTCAAAGCGCAGAAATGGATTGCTTAAGAAAGCCAAGGAACTATCAATTCTTTGTGATGCCGAAGTTGGAGTGATTGTCATCTCCAGTACTGGAAGGCTCTATGAATTTGCAAGCCCTAGGTCTCTCTCTCTCTCTCTCTCTCTAAAATTCTACATCTTGGAGACTGATATCCCATTATTTAAGTTGTTCCTAAATGCTTGTATCTATTTGTTCTATGTTTTTGTTTTGATTGTTTTCTGGTTTAACAGGAAGTTCAATACTTCACAGATTTAGGATTTAAATCTACTGTTTGCCTTACAATGGACTAACATCTACTGTAAGTTGTGAATTGTGATGATCTAGTGAAAGTCTAATCACTACTGTAAACTTTTTGAAAGATCATAGTCAAACATGCACCTGAATGCCAATAGAAATAGAAAACTATCTAGTTTAAGGTTATGCTAAATGAAAATTTTATCAAACAATAAAAGTTGACCATGGAAACATTGCTTAGGGTTTAGCAGATTAGTGATGCATATTTTATGATAAGTTTAAAATTGTATAAAATAGGCTAAGGTCTGTAGAAATGTGATGAGTTATGCTTCTAGGTGATGAGAATTTCCATTGAATAGTGAAAAGGAATGCAATGGCAATGCAATAGATGCTGTAAACAGTTGAGAGTTTTCTTACTACCACTAGTACCCTTATTTGGAGGACTAGTGACCCTCTCACATCATGTGTGTGCAAAACAAAGTAGAGGTGAGGTGGCTTAGGGAGACTGGAAAGCTAGACTATTTTGAGATTTAAGTCTTCTAATATTCTTTTCCCAAATAGTTACTAATGGGTACAGTTTAAACAATAGTGAAACTATCTTTTTGGATAATTTTGGTATAAGATTTAACATTACATAGCTTCATTTTTGCGTCCACACCAATAAAGGTATTCACTTAATAATATAGCACATAGATAATATGCTATTTTATGTATTTTACACTCCAATAACAAGCATAGGAGGAAAAGGAAAATTTATTAAACTATTAGAATCAGTTGGCATTAGATCTCTTCTTTCACTATCATTATCCAATAACTTCCTTACAATAAAAATTCATGCATAAAAAGGAGAAAATATTAAGAAAAAACCCACACTGCTGCTGCAGCATGTTGCTGCTGCCACAATGCTACAAAGCACAATGCTGCTGCTGCTCCTTCTAACCCAGACACCAAAAACACCCCAGACACTGCTACAATGCACAATACTGCTGCGCCTTCTTGATCTTCTAATTAAGCATTATTGACCTAAATATTGGTGAAATAGGCAGCTCACAACAGAAAATCACTGTCAAGACATACTATAAAGGAGAATACTAAACTTCATTGCTTAATTCCTTCAAGATGCTCCTAACCCTCAAGTCAATTAGAGATTTCTGCAATGCAGTTCAGCCAATAAACCAAGCACTTTTTTCCTTAAAAATTTTAGTATACTTAAATAACAATAAATTCAAACTTATGTTAACCCAATTATTATTAACTGACCTAGGCTTTGACATTCAAATTTTGTTAGTGAATTTCTCCTTGCTGCAAATAGATATAATAGGATAACCTGAACATGCAATCTTCAGATGTCACACACATAAACAAACAAACAAGCAAGTAACATATTATGTAGTGTGGATCTATGTACCAACACACTCATGGACATTAAGCAAGTAAAGAAATATATATATAGAGAGAGAGAGACATAATTTAATGTTTACAACTGTTCCCTTCTCATTTATTTTCTTTTTTATTACCCTTTGAACTCTTTTGCACCACCAAGTGTCTCTAGATGAAAGCCTACTCCCTTCAATTCTCCAAAAACTCATTTTGCTACTTTTTTAACTCAACTAGACATCACACACCACATAATGTTAGTTTCCTCATTTGAAGTCCATTGTCTTTCCTTGATCATCCTATTTTCAAAGAGTACTAAATTTTCATTTTTCAAGCTCCATACCTAGTTCCCCTTCTATTTTTAATTCATATTATATCTCCTAATACATATATCTAATACCGTTAATTTATATTGCGAAATTAAGTTCTCATTACTATTATTTACAATCTCATACATTTCCTCTACCAACCTTTATAGAAAGAAAATATATATATATATATATATATATTTTACTAACATTTTGTTCTACTTTTGAATGTTACTGAATTATCTATCCCTCGTTGTAAAACAAATGCTTGCTATTACACAGTACACAATTATATGCCATTACAAATTATATGATTGCGTATGTATTACCTCCATCATTTCTCATTCTAATCTTTGATCCATTATGGCTGTGTTTGGTTAGAGGATTTGATGAGGGAAATGGAAAGGGAAAGAAAATGGAAAGAAAATGAGAAAGAATTGATAGGATTCGAATTCCAAGCTATGTTTGGTCGAGTTGGGAAATGGAGAAAGAAAGGAGCCTAAGTGAACCAAAAACGCCTTTCTTTTCCATTGTGTTTTCCACTATAACCAAACAAAGAGTGGGATTGCATTTCCTTTTCCCTTTCCATTTCTCACACCAAATCCTCCAACTAAACATAGCCTATATCCATCCCTTTTTTCCCATTACTGTTCCGATATTCCAAATACCCAAGCACATCCTATACTCTTTGACTAACTTCTTTACCTGCACTTGGCTATTAAAGTGTAGGAACTGTTGCCTACTTCTCACTGCATCTTGGCTCTAACATACTACAACTCTAGCCCTCCCTATTTGCCGAGAGAAAGAGAGAGAGAATGAAAAATGAAAGAAAAAAATTAACTTAAATACATCGATGAGCTCGAGTCAATAGCCATTAAATTCAGATTTACATCCTTTCCTCCCCAGTGACAATCTTGATAGAAGGAACTCTTGCTCAGGCTTATGTTGTTTAAAACATAAAAGCAGGTAATTCTTCAGTAGATTGTACAGTTTACACTATGAAAGTAACCAATATTTTTTGTTGTTTTTCCAGCAGAGAAAAATCAATATTATTTTGAATGACCATCTTACAAGCGCAACACATTTCTTTGCTTTACTTTTTATTTCTTTCAGGGAAAAAAACCAAACTCATTGTTCAATAGTTTTTTCCTTGCATGCACAAATGCCACACAACTATGATCTAGTAATAAGAAATGTAAGCAATTTAAAAACAAAAAATGTTGAGATCTTTCTGTCTATTACTAATGACCTCTTCATATGATATGATGCAATGAAGTTCTTGCATTATAAGTTCATAAGTAAATATTGACAAACTGAGCAGCTAATGTTCTGACTTTACCTTATCAGCATGAGATCAATATTTCAACGATACAACAATGAGCAGGAGAATCATCAGCTTTTGAGTCCTACTTCAGAAGCCAAGGTATTCTTTCATGAGCAACTCACCTATTACCCTGCAAGCTTCCTGCATTAGTACAGGATATTCAATTAGGTTTTGTTTTTGAATATGTTGATTTAAAAGCTACAATTTTTTGACAGACAGTTCTAATTTTATAGAACTCTTACCATCCAATGGATAGTCACACACTTAACAGAAAATGAAACTCATACTAGAATCACTTAAAGTTATAAATTACATCAAATTGATACATGTTTTCCTCTTTTTCTATTTTGATGGGAGAAAGTGTTAGGGAATCCATAACATCTAACCAAGATGGGTGAAGTGAAAACACATAAATGAACAAATGCACAAGAAAGATACATCACATGCACACACGAAGAACACAAGATTTACACAGTTCACCCCAATCTAGGGCTACCTTCACACTTACAATTTTCACTATGATCAGAAAGGTTACAAGAGATTACAAGAAATAGTTGTCTTCCCTCAACTGCAATACATAGAAAATTAGGGGAACAGGTCACAAGTGTGGAAAGGCATGAGTGGTTAGTGTTCAGTACTTATCAACTAAGAAGCACGGAACACTACTAATAAGGTCACGGACACACACTCCTCAAACATATGTCCGATACTCTTTTTCAATGTCCATAATGTCCGATACTCTTTTTCATTGTCCATAATTAAAAATTAAAAAAAAAAATTTCTTAATTTCAGACACATACCCAACATTCATTTTGCTTTCCATTACTTCTTAGCCATGTCTATCACTAGAAAATAAATATGAGACCAACACTTCTTGGGAATTTTCTAACACATGATTTTCAAAATTTGAGAATTTGACATAAATATTTTATACCCTTAAAAAAAATGTATAGTCATTAAGAATATATCCTATAGAAGTTTCACATAAAATCAAATGAAAAATCAAAAAGATACATACATGTATTAGTAGATCACGTAGGAAGATATGAGAAATGTTGCAATTATATATGTTTGTTGTAGTTTGTTTGATTTTTAACTATTATGATCCAGTAGTCTAAAAATTCATGTAAGACAGTTAGATACAAGATTTACTTAGTATCTATTATTAAGTGAAGGCCTCATTTGCTACAGTGAAGCCTTTGCTCTCCTCATGTCACGTGGCAGTAGTTTTTATTTTATTTTTTAAAAAGATATAGAAAGAGGTGGCTTGAACCCATGACCATGGGATTAAGGCAAGAGGACTCATACCACTTAAGTTAGGTATACATTATAATATTAATTTCATTATATTTTTTTTTTATTCTTACTTATTTGAATTGCGCATGCCACCCGCTAGTAAAGTAATTTTTAGTTTTGTATGTATCATGAACATATATAAACTATACAATAGAATATGTTCCTAGATAATATAATATCAAGATATTATTATTTGTGGCTTGTCTGAACTATATCCATGTCCTACTTTTTTAGAATTCGCCGTTAACGTATCTGTGTCATGTCGTGTCTTATTTGTGTCTCATGTCCATGTCTATGCTTCATAGCTTATCAAGATCCACACTACCCCAATAGAAAGGCAGGAGTAAGGTGTTCAAACCCTTCAAAAGTCTAAGAATTCCTTATAAAAAAAAATATAAAAAAAAAAGAACATCAATAAAAGAAAACAAAGGTAATTTTTTTGACAGATTGCTTAAGTCAGGCCTATCACATTTGCTTTTCAATTTTTTGAAATTTCTAGCTTTGGCAAAGGGAGGCAGAAAGCTTAAGGCAACAGTTAAACTACTTGCAAGAAAGCCACAGGTATAATCACCTTTTTCTTTATCTTATTTTCAATAAATATGATCACACATAAAATGTGTGATCAATGATCATATGTAAACCATAAAATTGCCAAAATTGTATTACATTGCATGTGCAAAAACAAAATATTATATGCTTATTATACATTTTTAACATGTCAATATCAAACCACATTTATGCTTAGTCGCAGCATGATGTAGTACAGCTTTAGAAAACTTGGAATACTGCAATCTACAATTGGAATTTATGGTGGGTTTGGGACAAGGAAAGCTTCTACGTATAGGGTCTACAAGGGTAGAAGAAAGGTTGTACGCTATGGGATTGAAAGGGACTGAGATTAGGTTGCTTTCAACACTAACAGCCTAAGAAATATGGGCGCTTCTATGGAGGAAGCGTGTCATGCAGACATGACACTGTGAAGACACTCCTAAAAGCGATCATGTCCAACACTTCTTTAACATGTCGTAATTAAAAATTTTAAATTCATAATATCAGACACTTCTCAGACTCTTCGGTAACACTTCTTGAACCCTCTGAACACGACCTATGTGATGAATCTCTCCATGGTAATAATGTCCATGTTGTGCCTTGTCGGTGTCACATGTCAATGTCTATGCTACTTAGATAATAGCTCACAGAAGTTTCATAAAAGGTGTTCCAAAATCTTGGGAAAATATTTGCAAGTTTTGATGTTAAATTAAAGGCTATTGGCTAAGGGAAAGGGTTAAAGCTCATAGTTGATTGGAAACACTACTAGTTCTACCCTAGTATTCTACATTTTAGAACAAATGTTCCAGAAATGGTACATTTCCATTCCAAAACACAAGACAAGACACAAAAATTTAGTGATCTGATAATTTTTTCCCATTTATTGCCTTAGTATTTTCTTATGAGAAAAACACGAGTTATAATGAATGAATATCTTGAAAGAGTGAAGTTCTACCAAGCAAAAGATCTAAAGAAAAGGATCCATATCGTACCAATAGGCTCATCCTCTGTTATCAGAATCTTATGATTCGTGATTCGATTTACATTTTTTGTAAAATCGATACGAATCTATTTTGGAAGTAAATTTCTAGTGAATCGCAAGATTCACAATCGATTCACGATTCGAGTCACTTTTTACGATTCATGCAATTCTTGAAATTATCAAGTCCGATATATTTTTTACTTTTTATTTCTCTATCTTCTTATTGAAAATGACATAATACAACTTTTAATAGCATTTAGTACCAAAATAACCAATATATGTACCTGATTTGTTATTATTTTAGTAATCATAGAGTTTTTAATAGGATCCAATCAAATTTCGTCAGACCTAATAACCTTTATTCTTTTTTTTTTCTTTAAATAACCATAATATATCTTCTAAAGATGTTTAAGATTAAAATAACCTATACCATAAATTATCTATTACTATTTTATCAAATTAAATATAGTTGCATTTATTTCTCTATCTTCTTATTGAAAATGACATAATACAACTTTTAATAGCATTTAGTACCAAAATAACCAATATATGTACCTGATTTGTTGTTATTTTAGTGATCATGCGGTTTTTAATAGGATCCAATCAAATTCTGTCAAACCCAACATAACCTTTATTGTTTTTTTTTTCTTTAAATAATCATAATATATCTTCTAAAGATGTTTAAGATTTAAATAACCTATACCATGAATTATCTATTACTATTTTATCAAATTAAATATAGTTGCATATTACATGGACGACGTCAATTACACATTTGCAAATATTTTAGACTTTAAAATAAAATATCATAAATAATGTTTTCTTATTATTTGGTCATTGTTACTTGGAAAAAGTATGTATGCTTATTGTCCAAATATTAATATCATTGTCAGATTGTTGTTATTTTAGAAATTGAGAGTTTTTCTTTGTTTACTGGCTTTATTAAAAATGGTTGAAAAAAAATATCTAAAAAAGGAAAAATGTAAGATAGTGATCTTACATAGAAACCTTTGTTAATTTCTTACCTATTAAACTACATGATCATCATTCAAAAGAACATTTTTATTGATTTAAATCTAAATATTTCATATTCATAAGATATATTTCACATCCAAGTGTGTAGATATATTTTTCCAAATAATTTAGAAAAAATGACCAAACCTTTACAATTCACGATTCAATTCGATTTACGATTTGAATCCCGATTTGACAACTATAGGCTCACGAACCTTTACAATTCACGATTCAATTCGATTTACGATTCGAATCCCGATTTGACAACTATAGGGTCAACTTGTATAGGAGATATAGAAATGTGCTTTTAAATAATTAATTTGACCATGAGAAAATTTCAAAGGTATGTAAACATGCATTTTTACATTTGATTAAATGTACAATTGCTAGTTGATAAAAATTGTATAAGGAGGTTAATGTCCTGCGACGAGATAATGCAGAATTACATAAAAAGGTACCGACTGCTTGTATTGACTTTAAATATTTATTTAAAATAAAGAACTTACATACTCGATTTTATTTACAAATTCATCCAATGTGAAAGTTGTTCTCTACAAAGCCTAAGAATTTCTGTTTCAGGCTTATGGAGCAAATGACATAAACAGAAGTTCCTTCAAACCATATGGTTGCAGCAATGGATATGACTTACATGTACCTATACAACTGCAGCTAAGCCAACCGCAACAAACACACAATGAAACACCAGAAACGCAAGGAATCTAGGGTAATCTTTCTGCTAGGTACTCTGAAGAATTAAATCAGAAACTAACAGTACCAGATCATATTCTTTTAACATTAATTCTGTCACATCTTCTTCCAAATCGCAGATGATTACAACTGCCTTAACAAAGCAGACAGACAACTGTGGAGAATATAGTCAATTTTCATCAACTACTTGCCCCGGAGTGACAAAAATCATTGTTTGCAAACAAGATTGTGTGTAAGATAGTGGAAAATAGACATTCAGTATAAACATCATCAATTTCGTAATGATATGGTACTTGGATTAAACTTAAGATTGTTGTGGTAAGATCAATCACCTTGTGGTATGATCAATCACCCACCAACTTAATGTAACAATTAGAAATAATGAGAAGTTATTTCAGGGTCCAGGTAAAATTTTAGATGTTTTATTATCAAGATTTTTAAAATAGACATTTTGACCCCCACCAATTCAACGCTGAATTTTCCATACTTAATTTTTAGTTTTATCAAGCAGCCTCTAAAATGATTAGAAAGTTAGGGATGATTAGTTAGGATTCTTTAGGCTTATTTCTTATTACAATTGAAAACATTTAGACATTACACAATAGGATTATGGCTTACGAAAATAAGGCCATGAGTTTAAATATTAACAATAACATTTTTCACCAAAAGAATAAAATTGTTTTCTTTTTAGTCTAATCACCCTCGCCGATTCTAAAAGCGCAATTTGACTCAACGAGAAGGTTGTGTATATATATTGCTTCATGCAGTGGGTCGTCTTTTTTTTCAACCCTTGAACTGAGTTAGATTCAGATCCATTTCTGTTTTATAATTAAAAAAAATAAAATAAAAAAATCCCAATTTCATTAGATGGGATTGTGTCAATTTTGTAACTAACAACTCCCTAAAAGAGAACCAACATGTATAAGAATATACTATCAATCACTGACCCCAATGGCATATAGAAAAGGAAAGAGCTCTGCTACAGAGCCCGAAAGGGTTTCGAGCCAAATTTGGCTCGAATTTGAGAAGGAGGAAGAAGAAGAAGAAGGGAAGGAGGGGGAGGGGAGGGGAGGGGGAGGAAGGACTGGAGGGGGCCTAAAAAATGGAGGAGGAGGGGCTGAGGCGAGGCAGACGCGATCGGCGGTGGCCGACGGCGATCGGCAGTGGGAGGCGCAGGCGACGCGACCTCTCTCTCTCTTTCTCTCCCTCTCCCTCTCCCTCTCCCTCTCTTTCTCTCCCTCTTCCTCTACATTGCAGAGGTCGAAAATGGCGGAAAAAAAGAAAAAAAAAAAAAGAAAACGGAATGCCCAAAACGACGTCGTTTTGGGCATTCGGGGCATTCGAGCCAGGCATTTCGGGCCCTCAAACATTTTCCAAAAGGAAAATGCTTGGTAGCTCCACAGACAAAGGGCTCGAATGGCCCGAATGTCTCTCTCTCTCTCTTTCTCTTTCTTTCTTTTTCTTTCCCTTTCTTTTTCTTCTCTATCTCTCTCCTTCTCCAACAGATTTTCTCTCTTCTCTGTATCTCTCTCCTTCTCCAAAAGCATCCCTCTCATGCCTGAGAGATTTTGCAAATTCTTATTCGATTTCACTGGAAAGGAACCACGATCTATGGCTGTGTCAACAGATTTGGGTTTGATTTTTTTATTTTGATTGTGGGTTTGGTTTGGATTTTGGATTTTAATTTTGGTTCTGAGTTTGGATTCAGAAAACCCCAAAATCAACATAATGAAAATGATTAATTTCAACAAACAAATGATCTATTAGTTGTGTTATGATTTGTATTGTTGTCTGGTTTTTGTTGGTTTTGAAGGCGTTATGATATATATACACACACACACCGATATATATATATATATATATATGTATTGTGAACACGGATATTGGTTTTATAGCCGGCGGCCATAAAAAAACCGCCGGCCAACTTTGAGCTTGATTTTTCTTGTTCTGTTCTGCTGCTTTTTTGTTTACTTTTTTTTTTTTTTTTTTTAAATTGTGGTTGTGGGTTTGGTTTTGATTTTAGGTTTTGATTTTGATTTTGATTCTGAGTTTGGATTCAGAAAAGAACAGAGGAAGAAGAGGGAAAAAAAAAAAAAAAAAGTGCTTCAAGCCACTCCTTATTCAAGCTACCCAGCAGCTCCGTGGCATATAATATTGAAAATTGTACAAAACACATGATTTACAGAAGAGACCCAAAAACTTACAAAATTTGCTGACACCCCTACAATTTATCCAATAAAAGTAAACTTGTATGTCATATAATTGCAAACAAACAAACCAAGTCAATTTAGCATAAAACCCTTACAAAACTTGTTGACACCCTTACAATTTATCCAATAAAATAGTAAACTATGCATGTGATACAATTGCAAACAAACAAACAAACAAACCAAGTCAATTTAGCATAAAACCCTGAAACAATTTTATATTTAAATATAACAACAATATAATAAAAATGACAAAAGAATGCATTGTCTTACCTGTTGAGCGTAGATGCTTGGGAGATCTCATAGAATAAACAAATGGGCTACAATTGACTGTCAGATCCACGAATAATCCATGTTTAGGCATTTTGATGTGTACGGAGTTCCATGTTGTATGTGTATTGGGGTGTCTGTATGTATACCCCATATGGGATTCACAAAGTACAGAACGGTCTTCTTCATGCACAGTGGTGATTTTTTTTAGGGCACGGTACCCATTCGGGAATTTGAGATTTTTTTTTTTTTTTTTCAAAAAAAAATTACATACAACCTTCTTATAAATTTCTTTTCACTTTTATTAATAATTGGTTAGTTATATAAATACAAAAATAATATTCAGTGTGTTTAGTTCGAATTTTTTGAATTATGTTTTTTAAAAATTGAAGTTTTTTTTCCTCGTGTTTTTGTTTTTAGTGAATATTTTTAAAATTTTAATCATTTTCTTTTACTTTTTTAGATGTATCTTACTTAGATGTATCTAAAAAATAAATATTTGTGAAAAATATTTTAAAAAATTAATAAATACACAAAAGTATGAAAAATATACTAAATTTTTATATTTTTGGTGTTTAGTAAATTTTTTAAAGATTTTTTCATAAAAACTATACTTTTTAAGTGTATTTATGTTAGGTGAGTCTAAAAATTAAAAAAAAAAAATTGCTTAAAATATTTAAAAAATTCAATAAAAATAAAAAAAAATGTGAAAAACAAAAAATTAGAATTTTCTGAAAACCCAAACCGAGCAAATTTATTTTTAAAAATTTTAAAAAAATCAATGATATATTTTTAAAATATATAAGTGGATTCAAATTTAAAAATAATTAATGAAAAAATATTTTTAAAAAATCAAAATTCAAATATGAAATTTTGGAATTTCTAAAGCAAAAAAAGGCAATTTAATTTTGATTCTAGTTTTTTTTTTAACTTGAGTTATTGCCCAAGTTCCCCAAATTATCTTAATTGCACACAAAAAAATGTATTTTTTTTCCAACTAATTTAATTAATTTATTAAGATTATATTATATTACTTTTTTTTATTTTTTTAAAATCATTAATAACATCAAACTAAATAATTTATAAAATGTCAGAGAGGTAAAAATTGAAAATTTTATATGCGCTATGTTGGTCTTTATAAATTTTAAATGAGAAAAAAAATAATTTTGTATTGTATTATTTGTGTTTATGATATATGATAGGGTAATTTATAAAGAAAATTGGGCCGAGCTACGATCCATTAATCTCTGTTTTGGGCCAGACTAAGGATCGGGGTATGGGCTTTGGGTAGCTCGGTCCCAGGTCGTTTGGGTACCAAACTGGGCAGAAACTTCGGGAGTGGTTTGACCGAACTACCTAAAGCTAGGCCTGATGGCTGGACGAGGTGTTAGTAAGAAGGAAGGCCGAGCTAGGTGTGGCTCGGTCGAATGCCATCTACAGCATTGCTTAGTTAAGAGCACGACAGAAATAAGATAGCTCGGTTAAACCGTACCAACATGGACAAGAAGAAAACTATCTCACTTGGTTGGTAGTAAGTAGAGTGTTATCAGAATAGACACTCTTCACTGTGAGTGTGATTCCTACGAGGACTCTTATAAGGAGAGTTGGAATCCTACTAGGATTGTGCCAGGCCGAATCTATAAAAGCTCGTAGCAGGACCTATGTACAGGTATCACAACTTTTATTCTAAAAAACACAGAGCTTTTTATCTATTGTCTATTTACTGACTTAGGCATCGGAGAGGTATCCAGCACACACCCGCCGGTTAGCTCACGTTTGTGTTTTCTGGAAGTAAAGCGACAACGTTTGGAGGAGTACAAACTTGATCAACAGGATTATACGAGAAAATTATTTCGTGCTCATACAATTGGCGCTGTCTGTGGGAAGAATAAAGAACAAGACCTTTTGATCAAGTTTTACTCATTAGTTGAAATCAATGGCGCACAATGAAGATTTGTTACAATCCGCTATAGATGGGCAAACCCCGAAAGAAGGCGGGAGGCGTGAAGGTTTACCTACTATCCCATCCATGGCAGAATTACACCTCCAGCGAAGGAACTCCAAGAGGGACACACGAGAGAGACGGGGCACCAGTCTTCATCGCTCTCAAAGTCCTGAAAGACAAAGGCGGAGGTTGGATCCTCAGGTTCTAGAGGATCGCGTGAGGAAGCAAAACGAATTAATAAGGAAGATGGCGGCAGACATGGAGACTATGAAGCGCCAGATAAAGGGTAAAGGGGTGGCGACAGAAGAATGGCGCAAAGGCGACACGCTCTCTTACCACTCGAAAGATCGTGACAGACAAGTCACACCATCACAAGTTGAAAGTAGGAGCCTCAGAACAAGCGACACTCAATCAAGGACTTCCATGACTCGTTACTCTAGGTCTGAGAGAACGAGAACTGAAAGGTCGCATGCGAAAGGAAGTAGCTATTGGCCCTCACATACGCACCAAATGACATCTAGGCACACGGAGTTGCCTAGGTCAACAGACCTGTGAACAATGCAATTTGAGAAGGCCCGATGGAAGGAGGACACCAGGGCTCGCGACCTTCATAGGGTTTCAGCCCTACAGCGATTAGCCCTTAGGACACATGGGAGTGTCGAGGTAGGGATGCCAATGCCGCCCCTTGCGTACGAACCAGCAGATAAAGTGCTAGCAAGGTTACAAAGCTCGCCGTTCGTTCCAATAATTGAGAGCGCACCACTACCCTCAGGCTTCCACTAGCCCAAATTCACTACTTATGAGGGAAAGTCAGACCCCTACATGCACTTAAGCCACTTTCGCCCCGTTATGGCAATATATCGGCAAAACGAGGCTCTAATGTGTATCTTGTTTCCTTCCAACCTTAGTGACCTGGGTCTAACATGGTTCGAAAGGCTGCCAGAAGGCAGCATAGCCTCATGGGCGCAGTTGGCAGAGGCATTTGTGACTTGATTTAGAACAAATACTAAGACACCAATGGAGATAAACCAGCTACTCTCCATTGACATTGGCGAGAAGGAAATATTGAGGTCTTACAACAGTCGATATTGGGAGACTTTCAACCAGATTGGGGATTGCCC